AAATTAGTTCGTAAGACAACAGAGGAGCTCTCTAGCTATATCAAGACCAAGGAAAAGTCTAAATTTCTAAATATTGTTCACCAAAATATACAAGGCTTTTCTGGTAAAGACTTAGAACTATGCTTATTTTTAAATACAATGAATATAAACATTTTATGTATTACAGAGCACTGGCTCAGAAATTATGAATTAGTTACAGGCTTAGATAATTATACAGTTGTTAGTAGTTTTTGTAGGAAATCGGCTATCAGGGGAGGCTCTCTCATAATCTTACAGAATAATCTTAAATACAAAGAACGTGCAGATATTGTTTCACTTTCAGTTGAACGTAATGTTGAACTATCTTGCGTGGAACTGGAAGAAATGATCATAATATGTGTATATCGACCCCCATCTGGGAATTACACTCAATTTGAGTCCGCTATGGAAGACACTTTCAATATAGTATCTAAATGTAATAAAGTGGTTGTTGTGTGTGGTGATTTTAATATAAACATTTTAGTTAAGTGTCCATTAGTGAGTAGGTTTCTAAACTTATTTAGATCATATAACTTGAAGCATACCTTCTTTGAGCCTACCCGCATCACACATGCATCAGCAACCTGTTTGGATAATATTTTTTGTAATAGAAATGTTTTTAATAAATCAATAATAAATTGTATTAATTCTGATCATAGTGGACAATTAGCCTCTATTGAACACCATCATGCTTCACCCAAACATGACCTAACTTGTAGACCAATTACACAAACGGGTATAAATAAATTTCAAGATAACGTTTATCACAAAATATCGAACTTACCAGTTTGTAATAATAATAATATTTTGTATGAAGATTTATTCAATTTAATTAAAGATGAATTCAATAAAATATTTAAACGCAAATTAATTAAATGCCATAGCTCTAAAAAGAAATTTAGTGATTGGGCCACACCGGGTATTTACAAAAGTAGAAATAAGTTGTATCAATTATATGCTCTCAAGGCAACCTCATCTGATCCTAAGTTTATAGAATATGTCAAAAACTATTCAAAAACTTTTAAAAAGGTGTGTGCCATAGCAAAGTCTAAGTTTTTATCTAAAAAAATTAGTCTTTCCGATAATAAAATAAAGACAACTTGGAATATAATTAATAATGAAACTGGAAGAAATAAATTTAATGAACATACATATTCTTTAAAAATAGACAATAAGATTATTAGGACAGATGATGCCGTTGCAAACACTTTTCAAAATTTCTTTTCTAGTGCACCATTTGAAACAACTAGAAATCTTAATTCTTGTTCTAGGTTAGCAATGACCCTCCTTGAGTCAAGTGTTGATAAGTGCAGTAATGATTTTCATTTTAGAGATATCAGTAGTGATTGTATTATAAAAACTTTTAATTCAATTAAAATTAAAAAGACAGAGGATTATTGGGGAATATCAACATATATAATAAAACCGATTATCACTGTCATTGCGCCACAACTGGCCATTATATTTAACAAATGTATTGATGAGGGAGTGTTTCCAGATCTAATGAAATGTGCTAAAGTTATCCCTCTCTTTAAGGCTGGTGAGAAATCAGATCCCAGCAATTTTAGGCCTATATCTGTATTACCAGCGCTAAGTAAAGTATTTGAGAAAATAATTTATAACCAATTACTAGCACACTTTTCTATAAATAAGCTATTTCATTTAAAACAGTTTGGTTTCACTAGAGGCAAAAGTACTACTGATGCTGGAACTGCACTTCTCAAACACATCTTTGATATATGGGAGAGTAAGCACGATGCTATTGGCATTTTTTGCGATTTATCTAAGGCATTTGACTGCGTTAGCCATGAAACATTGTTAAATAAAATGAAGCATTATGGTGTATCAAATATTTCACTAAGTCTGATACAGTCTTATCTTTCTGCTAGGATTCAGAAAGTGGTTATAAATCAAGCTGAGTCTACAGGAGCACCCATTTCTATGGGCGTGCCCCAGGGTTCAATATTGGGCCCATTGCTTTTCCTTATTTATATTAATGACCTTCCTCACTTTACAAGAGATTTGTGTGAGACAGTACTATTTGCTGATGACACCTCTTTAGTGTTTAAAGCTAGGAGAGGAAATGATTGTTATGACGAAGTAAATTGTGCTCTTTCTGAAGTCCTTCACTGGTTTACGGTAAATAATTTAAAACTAAACTCTAGTAAAACAAAATGTGTTAAGTTTACTTTACCTAATGTGAGGCAGGTTAATACTAGTTTAAAAATAAATGACCAGCCTGTAGAGTTAGTGGATTCTACAAAGTTTCTGGGTATTACTTTAGACTCGCATTTGCAATGGGATCCTCATATTGATGCCTTATCAAGTAGACTGAGCTCTGCGGCTTTTGCTGTTAAAAAAATAAGACTTCTAACTGATGTGGAAACGGCAAGATTGGTTTACTTTGGTTACTTTCATAGCGTTATGTCATATGGCCTTTTGTTGTGGGGCTCAGCTGCTAATATAGAAAGTATTTTCGTACTGCAAAAGAGAGCTGTTCGCGCCATATATAATTTAAAGGCAAGAGAATCTCTTAGAGAAAAATTTAAAGAAATTAATATTTTAACACTGGCATCGCAATACATTTATGAAAATTTAGTATATGTAAGAAAAAACTATGACGCATTTTCAAAAAAAAGTCAAACCCATAACTTTAACACGAGATATAATAACAAACTTGCCGTTCCATGTCTCAGACTCCAAAAATCAAGAGGTTCATTTCTGGGATGTAGTATTGCATTGTTTAACAAAGTTCCCCAAGATCTGATTGAGCTTCCACTAACCAAATTTAAATCTCAGATTAAGAATACTCTTATGAATAAGGGCTATTATAAAGTTAATGATTATCTAAATGATCGAAATGCATGGACATAGTGTTTCTTGTAATTTGTTATTTGATGGGTATGAGTCAGTTTTTGAAACAGTAATATGGTACCTATCTAATGCCGCTTCCTATATACTAAATATAAAATTTATTGTAACTATATATCTATATCCTTAATAATGTAATGGAAGGTGACTTCAGATGTATCTCTGAAATCATTTTTCAACTTGACGACTCTGTATATATCAATACAGGGAGAAAAAAGCAGCTCTTGCTGAGTTTCTTGCCGGTTCTTCTCAGTACAAGGTCTCCCGCCGTAGTTTTGCGAACCGATGGCGTAGCTTCTTGACCTTCACAAGTGCTTGTAACAGCCTAGACTGAATAAATGACTTTTCATTTCATTTCATTTCATTTTAATTAGAGTTGCCAGACGCTGGCTTGTCATTTGCAACCCCCCCCCCCCCCCCCCCAATGGCCAGTGGACACGGGACAAGACGCAAAATTCCGGGACAATCTGGCAAGCCTAATTATATTAGATGATGTTGATCCAATAGGATACAATAAAGCAAAGGAATATGAACTATATTTCTGTAAATATTACTGTACCTACTTTATAGGCATAGTAAAAATGGTTTTATTTTTGTTTAATAAAATTTACTTCGCGCATTCACGGGGTATCAATGGCACATAGGTACATCCCCTGTTCCCAGTAGTCTTACCAGTTGAACTACTGGGAATTTCTTTCCCAATAGACTTACTTGTAAGCCTGCCAGGAATTTTGGACCCAATAGACTTGCCAGTAAAATAAAACTCCCAATAATCCTACTCTTATGTAGACTTACCTACTTGTAGAACTTGAATCTATCTACCCAAGGTAAATGAAGAATCAATCAGTTCGCTCAGAATTCATTATGCTGCCAAGTGACACGGGCAGCGTAAACACTGCTGATCAAGCTTGTATTAAAACAATAAACATTTATAAAAATATTATTTTCAAAAAAGTACCAGGAGACCAAACAACTTAATAATGCTTAAAAGAAAAAAGAATTGTTTGTTATTTAGAAAAAAAGGAAATTATTATTTCTATTAGATTCCCTTAGACGTTACATATGATTATAAAAACTGATGTCTATTAATTACGAGGTCTATGTTTTATAATTTTTGATAATGTAAAACTAATGGGAAACTAACAGTAGTGAAGTCTTACTATAAGTAAATCTATTGGGAAAGAAATTACCAGTAGTTCAACTGGTAAGACTACTGGGAACAGAGGCGACCGAGGCATGACCACTTTGTCAAGAGTGCAACGCTAGGAATAATATATAAAATAATAATTTCTCCCAGCTTGAGGGCTCTGAGAAATGAGCCCTTTTTACTAAAACAACAGACTCCTGCGCCGGTCACCAAGCATTTTGAGGACCGCGGTCCCCAGGATCCACACCAAAAGTGCAGAGTGATCGAGGTATCCTGTTACAACTGGCCATACAAGTTATGCTCCACCCTTCTATATTATAAATAAATATTTCCAACACTCACACCAATTAGCCTTGCCCCAAAGTAAGCAGTATAAGGCTTGTGTTATGGGATACTAGGGTAACGGATAGAATACATACACTATACATAAATAAGTATATCTTTATATATATAATTCTTCTGAGTGTGTATGTCACTGAACTTCTCTTAAACGACTGGACCGATTTTGATGAAATTTTTTGTGTGTGTTCAAGGGGATCAAAGAATGGTTTAGATTCACAATTTTGTCCGCTGGACAACCCCTATTTTTTTAGGGCGGTACGAAGTTCGCTGGGTCAGTTAGTTTATATAGAAAATACATATTAAACATCCATGACTGGAGTACAAATGCTAATATTCATCACACAAACATCTGCCCCCACCGGGATTTGAACCCAGGACCTCTCGAGTCGGCGACACCATGAAACCCGGCGTACAAACCACTCGGCCACGGAGGTCGTCAAATTAATTAAAAATATTATCTTGTGTGAAACGTGTGTAACCAAACTTGTGGGTATAGCATTGCTTGCATTAGATAATTAATTACTCATAAATGTGTTCCAAAGATCAAATTTCAAAAGAAACCATGCAGAAAGAATGTGCAATCTTGATGAACCGAGAAATTGGGCCGTGAAAGAAACAAATATTTTGATTTATAATTTATTAACTTATAATAACTTTCGTCACCTATTACTACTATTGTAACATACACTTCGATATTTCATTATATTTATACAATTGGCAACATTTGTATAAGTAAAGCTAAACAATTGGAAGTTTCGATGACATTGGGAAGACTCGTTCATGGCAACTGCTCATCAATTAAACATATAAATACTCTATTTACACTAAATATAATATTAGAAGGATAAAATCCAAGGCACTTATTGGCAAGACACTAAACATTTCATCTAATTTGGAGCTTATCAACTAAATACCGATTACTCTGACACATTTTAAAAAAAAAATGTTAATTAGAAAAAAATCCACGCGGACCAGGCAGCGGACGGGACTCGAACCCGCATCCTTCGCTATCCGGACGAATGCACTGACCATTATGCTACCACGGCCCTATTAGCCGCGTCGAAATTTTCCTAGCCTTAAGCTGCAAGGCAGCGCCATCTCTTCGCATTGTAGGTAACCCACAAACTTTTCTTTAGATTTAAACATCTAGCAGTTAAATGCTTAAAAAATAAATAAAATCATAAAAATGTTAATATTTAATTCCGCATATATTTAGTACGTATAAGTTTTTTTTTTATATATAGATTTTATTTCTAATAACTAACTTTGCCTAGAATACATATAATATATGTATATAATAAATCATAACTTCTAATGTAAATATACTTTCTTCCCCTAAACTCAGTCTCTTCTGAATTATATTTAACGTGTAATTTAAATAAAACATAATCTAACAGTTATTTATCAAAGTCGACTTTAGAATGGATTACATTATTTTTAAGGGTTCCATAAGCCTACGCTATACGTCCATCCATCTGCCAGCAGGCATTATCTCATAAACCATAAAAGATAGGATTGCTTAAATATATATAATATAAATATATAATAAAATATAGGCAGTGGAGGTACTCTTTATTGCGTTCTAACGTAAAATAAAACAAATGAGGTAAAATTTTCCGTAATATATACCAGTATACTGGCCAGTGCTAATGACGTCATGAATCGACGCTATACTTGTGAATTGTTCCGAAATGTACTGACTTCAAAAATCGACAAAATATTAAAAATAGTGCGAATAAAGGAGATTTTTTTATTCACCTCATCAATTAAAAGGAATTCTTTTTGTTCGGATCCCATTATTGTTCTTTAATAAAAAAAGAAATAAAATTCGAATGCATCACACGCACGCTCGGTCATACGTCATATTCGTTTTCCCGGTAAAATTATAGTAGCATACCAGTATAATATGGTGTCGCATTCGTGACGTCATTACCACTGGCCAGTATACTGATGTATATTGCGGAATACACCCATGATTGAGTGAGTGAGAATGAGTTTGCTCAACCGTATATAAATTTTAATACGGAACCCCTCGTAAGCCTCGTTTTACAAACAGAACAATTTTTTTAGAAAAACAACAATATTTCTGCATTTAGCTTACAAAATAATAATGCCGTGAGAACTACTTACTTTAAAAAAGAAATATTCATAGGCGTAATGAGGCTAAAACGAAAGGAAATAGTTCATTAATTTAGTGATTAAAATCTTTAGTATATAAATAAAACAGAGTAAAAACTACAAAAGCCTTTGAATTATTTAAATTACATTTTGTATTGTATAACAAATATCTTATATTTTACAATAAAACATTTAACAATAGACAACTTATTGGAAGACTACTGAATGAGTTTTACAGCATATCATAAGGTTTTCTTTTAAACTTACAAATTAAAATATTCTTTATAATAATAAAAGTATTATAATTACATTACTTGGTAATGAAATATAAATTTGTGTACATATAAATGCAGATCTCACATGTTACCTAAGTCTTAATTCTGGAATATTCGAGTTGCCTCATAAATACTGATAAGTTTTTAATACAACTTATTAATAAAACATTGATTTATGAATCACTTACTACTTTATTGGGTATAGCGACGATTTATTGTCTCAAATGGTTTGTGTTAAGGATGGGTCCTAGCAGTCATCCTGGTGGCATACCCAAAAAAATAGTACCTATGTAAAGCTCGCGTTCTAACGTTAAGCTTCTGCTGACTGCGGGAACTGGTGAGTAAGTCACTGAATAATTCTTGCAGCACTCGTAAAGTGAGGAGTAATAGCGGCAGTTCAAGCAGTGACCCTTACAACACTTCTCTAGTGACTTATCAGTAATTGACTGTCGTAAGTCACAAAAGAGCGTTTGGCAGTGTGCGTGGCTTCGGATTGCATCACGTCACATGAAAAGAAATCAAGAATCATCTTGTGGGAATATATAGGAGCGATCCCTTCCTCATCAGGTGGTCATCATCAGGAATATATAGGAGCGATCCCTTCCTCATCGGTGATCATCTCAACATTAGTAGTTACCTGCCACGTGTCTTGCGAGGTCTTCTCGCCGAGCTTGCAGTAAAGCAACAGCAGCGTTGGGTGAAGTTTGGTAATGCATTCGTACGGGGGTGCGGGACGTATATAGTGGCGGTCCCAGCGGTGACCCTTGCGGCACTCCATCGGCATCAGTAGTCACGCGGCACGTGTCTCGCGAGCGCCCCCTTGGCGGCGTGTAGTAGCGCGATGGCCGTGGAGGTAGAGGGCGGGTAGTGCTGTATTCTGGCGGGCGGGGCGGGGGGCGGGGGCCGCCAGGTGACCACATACTCGCGGCCCGTGGTGCGGGACGTATATAGTGGCGGTCCCAGCGGTGACCCTTGCGGCACTCCATCGGCATCAGTAGTCACGCGGCACGTGTCTCGCGAGCGCCCCCTTGGCGGCGTGTAGTAGCGCGATGGCCGTGGAGGTAGAGGGCGGGTAGTGCTGTATTCTGGCGGGCGGGGCGGGGGGCGGGGGCCGCCAGGTGACCACATACTCGCGGCCCGTGGTGCGGGACGTATATAGTGGCGGTCCCAGCGGTGACCCTTGCGGCACTCCATCGGCATCAGTAGTCACGCGGCACGTGTCTCGCGAGCGCCCCCTTGGCGGCGTGTAGTAGCGCGATGGCCGTGGAGGTAGAGGGCGGGTAGTGCTGTATTCTGGCGGGCGGGGCGGGGGGCGGGGGCCGCCAGGTGACCACATACTCGCGGCCCGTGGTGCGGGACGTATATAGTGGCGGTCCCAGCGGTGACCCTTGCGGCACTCCATCGGCATCAGTAGTCACGCGGCACGTGTCTCGCGAGCGCCCCCTTGGCGGCGTGTAGTAGCGCGATGGCCGTGGAGGTAGAGGGCGGGTAGTGCTGTATTCTGGCGGGCGGGGCGGGGGGCGGGGGCCGCCAGGTGACCACATACTCGCGGCCCGTGGTGCGGGACGTATATAGTGGCGGTCCCAGCGGTGACCCTTGCGGCACTCCATCGGCATCAGTAGTCACGCGGCACGTGTCTCGCGAGCGCCCCCTTGGCGGCGTGTAGTAGCGCGATGGCCGTGGAGGTAGAGGGCGGGTAGTGCTGTATTCTGGCGGGCGGGGCGGGGGGCGGGGGCCGCCAGGTGACCACATACTCGCGGCCCGTGGTGCGGGACGTATATAGTGGCGGTCCCAGCGGTGACCCTTGCGGCACTCCATCGGCATCAGTAGTCACGCGGCACGTGTCTCGCGAGCGCCCCCTTGGCGGCGTGTAGTAGCGCGATGGCCGTGGAGGTAGAGGGCGGGTAGTGCTGTATTCTGGCGGGCGGGGCGGGGGGGGGGGGGCGGGGGCCGCCAGGTGACCACATACTCGCGGCCCGTGGTGCGGGACGTATATAGTGGCGGTCCCAGCGGTGACCCTTGCGGCACTCCATCGGCATCAGTAGTCACGCGGCACGTGTCTCGCGAGCGCCCCCTTGGCGGCGTGTAGTAGCGCGATGGCCGTGGAGGTAGAGGGCGGGTAGTGCTGTATTCTGGCGGGCGGGGCGGGGGGGCGGGGGCCGCCAGGTGACCACATACTCGCGGCCCGTGGTGCGGGACGTATATAGTGGCGGTCCCAGCGGTGACCCTTGCGGCACTCCATCGGCATCAGTAGTCACGCGGCACGTGTCTCGCGAGCGCCCCCTTGGCGGCGTGTAGTAGCGCGATGGCCGTGGAGGTAGAGGGCGGGTAGTGCTGTATTCTGGCGGGCGGGGCGGGGGGCGGGGGCCGCCAGGTGACCACATACTCGCGGCCCGTGGTGCGGGACGTATATAGTGGCGGTCCCAGCGGTGACCCTTGCGGCACTCCATCGGCATCAGTAGTCACGCGGCACGTGTCTCGCGAGCGCCCCCTTGGCGGCGTGTAGTAGCGCGATGGCCGTGGAGGTAGAGGGCGGGTAGTGCTGTATTCTGGCGGGCGGGGCGGGGGGCGGGGGCCGCCAGGTGACCACATACTCGCGGCCCGTGGTGCGGGACGCGCTCACGCCGAACAAACAGCCCGCCGCCCACGCGCCTCGGAGGAGGGACAGGATCTGTAGAAACGGTAAACTCTGACGATAATATCCCGACTTACAATATCATCAAAGAATAAACGGTCTCGTGTCGCCTTAGGCTCGGCGCATATGTATGGCTTCCTGTAGGCCTATGCCTTAGCTGCTTTCGACAGATGGAAGTGAAATCACCGACTTAATTAGTGATGCACTACTGGTATAACCCCACTAAGATACTTCTTGTGAAAAGCATCGGTGGATATGCAATTTTCTCTTTAGTTACACATTGTAAATGTCAAAACGGAGGCCTACAGGAAACCCAGCGCCCCAGCCTTAGATTCAATCAAAAAGAGAACGATAGCCTCGTGTAATGCCCCACCTTTAATTCAATTAAAATGAAAAAGTATAACAGACTCATAAGTGCATGTTTAAATTTAAGTTCATACACACGAAAGTTGTATAAAAATCCATATCTGTCATGTAATTTAAAATTTGAACAAACTTTTACTCCGAAACATGGCAACCAAAGAGGTAACTTATCAAAAGCTTTATTTAAATCTCGAACAGAGTAGCAAACAAAAAAATTGATTATTGAAAAAAAAAATGTGAGTGTTGTTGTTCGTCATTGATGGAAAAATGATGCTCGTAAGTTCATCGTTCATCAAGTAATTATACGGGAATATAAGACATACCTCTCTACCCAGCGGTGTGTCGGGCAGCAGCGAGTGTCGCGGGAACCCCACCGCGTAGTAGGGTGCCCCCGGGCACGGGTGACCCTCGCTCTGGATCCCGGACTGAAAGCTGTTGCCAACATATTATACTGTTGTAAAGTGCCCCATTCTCATCGAATTATCATTATATTGATACGTGGATTGGGTTAGGGATGGAGTTCCAAATTATATGTCAGTTCACGCTTGACAGTTCTTTCTTAAACACAATACTACAGTGTCTTTAAACAATCGCACTTGAATACTTGACTTGCAGTTAGATCGCTTTTGTATTCAATCCGAAATCGTTGTTGAAATTCAACTGTTTACCACGCGGCGTCCAACGCCCTTATATACACCAATCGAATGAGTGGGGTGCGTGAGAACATCCTATTAATTTTATAAAGGACAACGGCGAAATATTTGTTGATGTAAATCTTTAGCTTCTATAGATGTCATTATCAGAAATGTTAATAAAATAATCGCAAAAGATTTATGAAAAAATTGAGAAGGGTTATCTAAGTCTGGAATAAAAACTATTGTAGCTGGGCATCATTCACGGCTTTTGAGCTATTTATTTTAAGTCATCTTAGTGATTAAATCAACTTCAAGTATGTTGTTCGATGTTTTGCACCACTTTTCGCTTAACCTATATTTAATTATCTATCAAAAATATCGGGAAATATTATTTTCCAATATTATAATGAAACTACAATAAATAATCTCCACAATACAAAAAGAGTATGGCGCCAATTTTAACGCAAAAAACTATTACTGTATTTGTCATGCTTGTCATCGAATTGTTGTTGTTATCATTATCGTTGCTTGTGCATGCGTATTGCGAAGATTCAAATCAGCGTATTGTTTTTCTACTGCTTACAGCGCAGAAATTGAATTCGAATCCAATAACCCATGTCTATTACATAAATATTATTAAGTATTAATGATCATATCATATAAAACTTTAAAGTAGAATATCTATAAATCCAGACTTCCTATAATAAAAGAAATAAGACGAACGAAGTCGAGAATCTAAACTGTATAATTTAACATGTAATTTATTTATAGACGATATATGTATGTTTGTTACTCAATTACGCAATAACTACTGAATGGATTGAGATGAAATGTGATACGCTGCGTGCTCCACGCCATGCTGCCGGATGGCTGCGGGCCCGATACCGTGCTGCTGTCCCCTGTCCCCCCCCCATACCTGTATGTGACGAGGATGGCACGGTGCGCGCCCAGGGAGGGCAGGGCGCGGGGCTGCGTGCTCCACGCCATGCTGCCGGATGGCTGCGGGCCCGATACCGTGCTGCTGTCCCCTGTCCCCCCCCCATACCTGTATGTGACGAGGATGGCACGGTGCGCGCCCAGGGAGGGCAGGGCGCGGGGCTGCGTGCTCCACGCCATGCTGCCGGATGGCTGCGGGCCCGATACCGTGCTGCTGTCCCCTGTCCCCCCCCCCATACCTGTATGTGACGAGGATGGCACGGTGCGCGCCCAGGGAGGGCAGGGCGCGGGGCTGCGTGCTCCACGCCATGCTGCCGGATGGCTGCGGGCCCGATACCGTGCTGCTGTCCCCTGTCCCCCCCCCATACCTGTATGTGACGAGGATGGCACGGTGCGCGCCCAGGGAGGGCAGGGCGCGGGGCTGCGTGCTCCACGCCATGCTGCCGGATGGCTGCGGGCCCGATACCGTGCTGCTGTCCCCTGTCCCCCCCCCATACCTGTATGTGACGAGGATGGCACGGTGCGCGCCCAGGGAGGGCAGGGCGCGGGGCTGCGTGCTCCACGCCATGCTGCCGGATGGCTGCGGGCCCGATACCGTGCTGCTGTCCCCTGTCCCCCCCCCCCCCCCCACCTGTATGTGACGAGGATGGCACGGTGCGCGCCCAGGGAGGGCAGGGCGCGGGGCTGCGTGCTCCACGCCATGCTGCCGGATGGCTGCGGGCCCGATACCGTGCTGCTGTCCACTGCCACTCTGTCATCCACTTCTCTATCCTCGCGCACCCTTTCCCCACCCCCGCCCCCCTCTTCGCCGCATATCAGGCACTCCATGTATGATTCCTCCTGGTAACGTATCGAAACAATAGGTACAGAAATAATGTCAATAAGGTTAAACAAATAATTTAACTACGAATTGCTATTTCTGCTTTCAAATGTTTAACATCAAATTGTTTATTACAAACGAGTGAACGAATGTAAGCCCGAGACGAGGTCGAAGATTTGTCATAGTATAGAGTTTGTAAATACCAATTCCGCACGAATGTCATACAACATTTTTATTTATTTATGGACCATCAACACAGCTTTATTAATACAAATAGACTAACACATATGCTTAATTATTAGGATATAATATAACTGTAATTATTTTACAATCTTTATATATATAATTCTTCTGTGAGTGTGTATGTCACTGAACTTCTCTTAAACGACTGGACCGATTTTGATGAAATTTTTTGTGTGTGTTCAAGGGGATCTGAGAATGGTTTAGATTCACAATTTTGTCCGCTGGACAATGTTTTTTTAATTAATTTTTTTTATGGCGGTACGAAGTTCGCATGGTCAGCTAGTATCTACATAAGTAATTTAATAGGCAAGACAAATACTGGCCTGCCCGCACAATGATACTCTGAATCCAAAACTAAACACAACAGTTTATCATGCTCTTTAATTCTTCAAAAGTGGAGAACACTACCAAAATCCGGTCGTAAGACCAGAGAACCACTCGCGTGCCAGGCCCATTATTGACAAACTAATTTTATTAACAACTAGTGGGCTCGCCCTCGCTTCGCTTCGGTGTAGAGCTGTAGTGTAAACTATAGTTTTTGTTCTTAGACTTGTGCTATAAACAATGACTTTATTTATATAATTACACGTGTTATTGTGAGTCAACCATAAAAGATAGACATATGCTGTTGTGGGATATTTTTTAGACAATTTTATGTAGAATATTTTCGTCCTTAAGGCTGCACACGCGACGGAAGCTTAAAAAATGGAGTAACTTCTCCCGTTTTCACAACATTTCCCTTCACTACTCTGCTACTATTGATTGTAGCGTGATGAAAAGTATATTATAACCTGCCCAGGAGTATGAAGAATAATTGTACCAAGTTTCGTTAATATCCGTCGAGTAGTTTTTGTTTCTATAAGGAACATACACACAGACAGACAGACAGACAAAAATTTTACTGATTGCATTTTTGGCATCAGTATCGATCACTAATCACCCCCTGATAGTTATTTTGAAAATATATTTCATGTACAGAATTGACCTCTCTACAGATTTATTATAAGTATAGATAATGTTAAACCAGTTAAGTATCTACTTGCTTAGTATCCAAATATTTTATATTTTAAAGTTGATATATCATGAAAAATATCAAGTGTTATCCTTCTTCACAAGCTCACCAATTAATCTACTTAACCTAGGGATGAGTGAGTGGTGACCCAAATTGCTACGGTACGTTTTGTGTGTAAGCGCTTGCAACAGTGCCGAAATTTTTTTCGCTTATGGATACCTTCGCGGTTTCCACGTTATCCGGCATCACTACTGCCTATATTATATCACTATAGCGACTGTTTTGTATCTGTCTGCCGTCATGAAGCCTTAAGGGATTAAAGGCGTTCTAGCCCCAATCATAATACCACCCCAAAAAGACACTGATTCCTCGCCTTGCTGAACCGTTCCAGGCCGTTCTTTGCTTTTGTCGGTTATCTGGATGAGTACTGATTCGCGATTCGTCAACGAAGAGGCAGCTTTGCCAAATGTTTTCCATTTCCAAATTTGTCAAACGCACATGGGGCATACCGCACCCCACCCGTGCCCCATCACCCACATACCTGCCTCCGTACATGTGTGGCCGGTAACCGCAGCAGGCCCGGCCCCGCGCGCAGCCGCGCCACGCACATGGGGCACACCGCGCCCCACGACCCACCCGTGCCCCATCACCCACATACCTGCCTCCGTACATGTGTGGCCGGTAACCGCAGCAGGCCCGGCCCCGCGCGCAGCCGCGCCACGCACATGGGGCACACCGCGCCCCACGACCCACCCGTGCCCCATCACCCACATACCTGCCTCCGTACATGTGTGGCCGGTAACCGCAGCAGGCCCGGCCCCGCGCGCAGCCGCGCCACGCACATGGGGCACACCGCGCCCCACGACCCACCCGTGCCCCATCACCCACATACCTGCCTCCGTACATGTGTGGCCGGTAACCGCAGCAGGCCCGGCCCCGCGCGCAGCCGCGCCACGCACATGGGGCACACCGCGCCCCACGACCCACCCGTGCCCCATCACCCACATACCTGCCTCCGTACATGTGTGGCCGGTAACCGCAGCAGGCCCGGCCCCGCGCGCAGCCGCGCCACGCACATGGGGCACACCGCGCCCCACGACCCACCCGTGCCCCATCACCCACATACCTGCCTCCGTACATGTGTGGCCGGTAACCGCAGCAGGCCCGGCCCCGCGCGCAGCCGCGCCACGCACATGGGGCACACCGCGCCCCACGACCCACCCGTGCCCCATCACCCACATACCTGCCTCCGTACATGTGTGGCCGGTAACCGCAGCAGGCCCGGCCCCGCGCGCAGCCGCGCCACGCACATGGGGCACACCGCGCCCCACGACCCACCCGTGCCCCATCACCCACATACCTGCCTCCGTACATGTGTGGCCGGTAACCGCAGCAGGCCCGGCCCCGCGCGCAGCCGCGCCACGCACATGGGGCACACCGCGCCCCACGACCCACCCGTGCCCCATCACCCACATACCTGCCTCCGTACATGTGTGGCCGGTAACCGCAGCAGGCCCGGCCCCGCGCGCAGCCGCGCCACGCACATGGGGCACACCGCGCCCCACGACCCACCCGTGCCCCATCACCCACATACCTGCCTCCGTACATGTGTGGCCGGTAACCGCAGCAGGCCCGGCCCCGCGCGCAGCCGCGCCACGCACATGGGGCACACCGCGCCCCACGACCCACCCGTGCCCCATCACCCACATACCTGCCTCCGTACATGTGTGGCCGGTAACCGCAGCAGGCCCGGCCCCGCGCGCAGCCGCGCCACGCACATGGGGCACACCGCGCCCCACGACCCACCCGTGCCCCATCACCCACATACCTGCCTCCGTACATGTGTGGCCGGTAACCGCAGCAGGCCCGGCCCCGCGCGCAGCCGCGCCACGCACATGGGGCACACCGCGCCCCACGACCCACCCGTGCCCCATCACCCACATACCTGCCTCCGTACATGTGTGGCCGGTAACCGCAGCAGGCCCGGCCCCGCGCGCAGCCGCGCCACGCACATGGGGCACACCGCGCCCCACGACCCACCCGTGCCCCATCACCCACATACCTGCCTCCGTACATGTGTGGCCGGTAACCGCAGCAGGCCCGGCCCCGCGCGCAGCCGCGCCACGCACATGGGGCACACCGCGCCCCACGACCCACCCGTGCCCCATCACCCACATACCTGCCTCCGTACATGTGTGGCCGGTAACCGCAGCAGGCCCGGCCCCGCGCGCAGCCGCGCCACGCACATGGGGCACACCGCGCCCCACGACCCACCCGTGCCCCATCACCCACATACCTGCCTCCGTACATGTGTGGCCGGTAACCGCAGCAGGCCCGGCCCCGCGCGCAGCCGCGCCACGCACATGGGGCACACCGCGCCCCACGACCCACCCGTGCCCCATCACCCACATACCTGCCTCCGTACATGTGTGGCCGGTAACCGCAGCAGGCCCGGCCCCGCGCGCAGCCGCGCCACGCACATGGGGCACACCGCGCCCCACGACCCACCCGTGCCCCATCACCCACATACCTGCCTCCGTACATGTGTGGCCGGTAACCGCAGCAGGCCCGGCCCCGCGCGCAGCCGCGCCACGCACATGGGGCACACCGCGCCCCACGACCCACCCGTGCCCCATCACCCACATACCTGCCTCCGTACATGTGTGGCCGGTAACCGCAGCAGGCCCGGCCCCGCGCGCAGCCGCGCCACGCACATGGGGCACACCGCGCCCCACGACCCACCCGTGCCCCATCACCCACATACCTGCCTCCGTACATGTGTGGCCGGTAACCGCAGCAGGCCCGGCCCCGCGCGCAGCCGCGCCACGCACATGGGGCACACCGCGCCCCACGACCCACCCGTGCCCCATCACCCACATACCTGCCTCCGTACATGTGTGGCCGGTAACCGCAGCAGGCCCGGCCCCGCGCGCAGCCGCGCCACGCACATGGGGCACACCGCGCCCCACGACCCACCCGTGCCCCATCACCCACATACCTGCCTCCGTACATGTGTGGCCGGTAACCGCAGCAGGCCCGGCCCCGCGCGCAGCCGCGCCACGCACATGGGGCACACCGCGCCCCACGACCCACCCGTGCCCCATCACCCACATACCTGCCTCCGTACATGTGTGGCCGGTAACCGCAGCAGGCCCGGCCCCGCGCGCAGCCGCGCCACGCACATGGGGCACACCGCGCCCCCACGACCCACCCGTGCCCCATCACCCACATACCTGCCTCCGTACATGTGTGGCCGGTAACCGCAGCAGGCCCGGCCCCGCGCGCAGCCGCGCCACGCACATGGGGCACACCGCGCCCCACGACCCACCCGTGCCCCATCACCCACATACCTGCCTCCGTACATGTGTGGCCGGTAACCGCAGCAGGCCCGGCCCCGCGCGCAGCCGCGCCACGCACATGGGGCACACCGCGCCCCACGACCCACCCGTGCCCCATCACCCACATACCTGCCTCCGTACATGTGTGGCCGGTAACCGCAGCAGGCCCGGCCCCGCGCGCAGCCGCGCCACGCACATGGGGCACACCGCGCCCCACGACCCACCCGTGCCCCATCACCCACATACCTGCCTCCGTACATGTGTGGCCGGTAACCGCAGCAGGCCCGGCCCCGCGCGCAGCCGCGCCACGCACATGGGGCACACCGCGCCCCACGACCCACCCGTGCCCCATCACCCACATACCTGCCTCCGTACATGTGTGGCCGGTAACCGCAGCAGGCCCGGCCCCGCGCGCAGCCGCGCCACGCACATGGGGCACACCGCGCCCCACGACCCACCCGTGCCCCATCACCCACATACCTGCCTCCGTACATGTGTGGCCGGTAACCGCAGCAGGCCCGGCCCCGCGCGCAGCCGCGCCACGCACATGGGGCACACCGCGCCCCACGACCCACCCGTGCCCCATCACCCACATACCTGCCTCCGTACATGTGTGGCCGGTAACCGCAGCAGGCCCGGCCCCGCGCGCAGCCGCGCCACGCACATGGGGCACACCGCGCCCCACGACCCACCCGTGCCCCATCACCCACATACCTGCCTCCGTACATGTGTGGCCGGTAACCGCAGCAGGCCCGGCCCCGCGCGCAGCCGCGCCACGCACATGGGGCACACCGCGCCCCACGACCCACCCGTGCCCCATCACCCACATACCTGCCTCCGTACATGTGTGGCCGGTAACCGCAGCAGGCCCGGCCCCGCGCGCAGCCGCGCCACGCACATGGGGCACACCGCGCCCCACGACCCACCCGTGCCCCATCACCCACATACCTGCCTCCGTACATGTGTGGCCGGTAACCGCAGCAGGCCCGGCCCCGCGCGCAGCCGCGCCACGCACATGGGGCACACCGCGCCCCACGACCCACCCGTGCCCCATCACCCACATACCTGCCTCCGTACATGTGTGGCCGGTAACCGCAGCAGGCCCGGCCCCGCGCGCAGCCGCGCCACGCACATGGGGCACACCGCGCCCCACGACCCACCCGTGCCCCATCACCCACATACCTGCCTCCGTACATGTGTGGCCGGTAACCGCAGCAGGCCCGGCCCCGCGCGCAGCCGCGCCACGCACATGGGGCACACCGCGCCCCACGACCCACCCGTGCCCCATCACCCACATACCTGCCTCCGTACATGTGTGGCCGGTAACCGCAGCAGGCCCGGCCCCGCGCGCAGCCGCGCCACGCACATGGGGCACACCGCGCCCCACGACCCACCCGTGCCCCATCACCCACATACCTGCCTCCGTACATGTGTGGCCGGTAACCGCAGCAGGCCCGGCCCCGCGCGCAGCCGCGCCACGCACATGGGGCACACCGCGCCCCACGACCCACCCGTGCCCCATCACCCACATACCTGCCTCCGTACATGTGTGGCCGGTAACCGCAGCAGGCCCGGCCCCGCGCGCAGCCGCGCCACGCACATGGGGCACACCGCGCCCCACGACCCACCCGTGCCCCATCACCCACATACCTGCCTCCGTACATGTGTGGCCGGTAACCGCAGCAGGCCCGGCCCCGCGCGCAGCCGCGCCACGCACATGGGGCACACCGCGCCCCACGACCCACCCGTGCCCCATCACCCACATACCTGCCTCCGTACATGTGTGGCCGGTAACCGCAGCAGGCCCGGCCCCGCGCGCAGCCGCGCCACGCACATGGGGCACACCGCGCCCCACGACCCACCCGTGCCCCATCACCCACATACCTGCCTCCGTACATGTGTGGCCGGTAACCGCAGCAGGCCCGGCCCCGCGCGCAGCCGCGCCACGCACATGGGGCACACCGCGCCCCACGACCCACCCGTGCCCCATCACCCACATACCTGCCTCCGTACATGTGTGGCCGGTAACCGCAGCAGGCCCGGCCCCGCGCGCAGCCGCGCCACGCACATGGGGCACACCGCGCCCCACGACCCACCCGTGCCCCATCACCCACATACCTGCCTCCGTACATGTGTGGCCGGTAACCGCAGCAGGCCCGGCCCCGCGCGCAGCCGCGCCACGCACATGGGGCACACCGCGCCCCACGACCCACCCGTGCCCCATCACCCACATACCTGCCTCCGTACATGTGTGGCCGGTAACCGCAGCAGGCCCGGCCCCGCGCGCAGCCGCGCCACGCACATGGGGCACACCGCGCCCCACGACCCACCCGTGCCCCATCACCCACATACCTGCCTCCGTACATGTGTGGCCGGTAACCGCAGCAGGCCCGGCCCCGCGCGCAGCCGCGCCACGCACATGGGGCACACCGCGCCCCACGACCCACCCGTGCCCCATCACCCACATACCTGCCTCCGTACATGTGTGGCCGGTAACCGCAGCAGGCCCGGCCCCGCGCGCAGCCGCGCCACGCACATGGGGCACACCGCGCCCCACGACCCACCCGTGCCCCATCACCCACATACCTGCCTCCGTACATGTGTGGCCGGTAACCGCAGCAGGCCCGGCCCCGCGCGCAGCCGCGCCACGCACATGGGGCACACCGCGCCCCACGACCCACCCGTGCCCCATCACCCACATACCTGCCTCCGTACATGTGTGGCCGGTAACCGCAGCAGGCCCGGCCCCGCGCGCAGCCGCGCCACGCACATGGGGCACACCGCGCCCCACGACCCACCCGTGCCCCATCACCCACATACCTGCCTCCGTACATGTGTGGCCGGTAACCGCAGCAGGCCCGGCCCCGCGCGCAGCCGCGCCACGCACATGGGGCACACCGCGCCCCACGACCCACCCGTGCCCCATCACCCACATACCTGCCTCCGTACATGTGTGGCCGGTAACCGCAGCAGGCCCGGCCCCGCGCGCAGCCGCGCCACGCACATGGGGCACACCGCGCCCCACGACCCACCCGTGCCCCATCACCCACATACCTGCCTCCGTACATGTGTGGCCGGTAACCGCAGCAGGCCCGGCCCCGCGCGCAGCCGCGCCACGCACATGGGGCACACCGCGCCCCACGACCCACCCGTGCCCCATCACCCACATACCTGCCTCCGTACATGTGTGGCCGGTAACCGCAGCAGGCCCGGCCCCGCGCGCAGCCGCGCCACGCACATGGGGCACACCGCGCCCCACGACCCACCCGTGCCCCATCACCCACATACCTGCCTCCGTACATGTGTGGCCGGTAACCGCAGCAGGCCCGGCCCCGCGCGCAGCCGCGCCACGCACATGGGGCACACCGCGCCCCACGACCCACCCGTGCCCCATCACCCACATACCTGCCTCCGTACATGTGTGGCCGGTAACCGCAGCAGGCCCGGCCCCGCGCGCAGCCGCGCCACGCACATGGGGCACACCGCGCCCCACGACCCACCCGTGCCCCATCACCCACATACCTGCCTCCGTACATGTGTGGCCGGTAACCGCAGCAGGCCCGGCCCCCGCGCGCAGCCGCGCCACGCACATGGGGCACACCGCGCCCCACGACCCACCCGTGCCCCATCACCCACATACCTGCCTCCGTACATGTGTGGCCGGTAACCGCAGCAGGCCCGGCCCCGCGCGCAGCCGCGCCACGCACATGGGGCACACCGCGCCCCACGACCCACCCGTGCCCCATCACCCACATACCTGCCTCCGTACATGTGTGGCCGGTAACCGCAGCAGGCCCGGCCCCGCGCGCAGCCGCGCCACGCACATGGGGCACACCGCGCCCCACGACCCACCCGTGCCCCCGCCCGACCCATTCACTACCCCGTCACCCACCCCGTTCCTGGCCCAACTCGCCGGCACCGTCTCTGTCATATTAACAATACTATTACGACTGACGCTACACATTATATCATTTGACATTTAAATGACAGTCGTGAGACGTTACACACTAGTGAGACCCCATAATGTCCAGAGAAACGTTTTTGAACAAAAACGTGTACTGAACTACACAAATGAATTAGAAAATATATATTTTTTTATAGACTTCATAAACATTAGCAAATAACGTGAGATCGTTTTCTAAAACTTGTCAAATAAATACACTATTAATCTGGTCATTGCGGCCAATGGCCGTGGTCTAAGCTGCCAAGTGCGCAAAGCACTAAATAGTCCAAGTACGTGACCATACACTAGTATGGCACCCTTAAAGATTTTTCAAGTCTCTTGACTCGAGCACAAAAACCTTGCACGAAGAGTCTCATAGTGCCTACTACGGACGGAGGAGCGGACCTTGGACGTTGAACTCTCTAAGACCAATCCATTAAAGATCAAACTTTTCGCATACGAATGAAGTCCGTCCAACTGTGTAACGTGTATGGCCTCTCTAACAGCTAACGAATTTCGAAGCACGAACTTTGACAGCTTCATAATGGCATCACAATCGTCAAATTTTCTATGAATAAAGCCAGTTTGTTCTTATTACCGGCAGGGGTGCTGCTGGAACTGAACCTTCGACGATGTGATACGATTTGTGCTTGTGCCTCATCATCATCAGCCTATTAATGTCCCCAGTGCAGAGGCACAGAGCCTTCCCTATGGATGGAATAGGGAGATCGGGCCATGATCCACCACGCGGGCTCAGTGCGGATTTGTGGGTGCTAACGACTGCAGATGCAGCCGGGACCAACGGCTTAACGTGCCGTCCGAAGCACAGAGGAACTCGAGATAGAAGATTTCTGGTCACCCGTCCAATGACCGACCACTGTAAAAGTTGCTTAACTTCAACCACTCGCGCCGTCGAGCTCCTCAGGTTTGTGCCTCGGGAGCCCTTAACTTACTATTTTACGTAAACCAATAATACATTTTTATGAAACAATGTTTGAGTTATATTCGAGGAGCTCGATGGCGCAAGTGGTTAGCGCATTCGGCTGCGATCGTTGAACTTAAGCAACTTTCGCAGTGGTCGGTCATTGGATGCGTGACCAAAAATTTACTATCTCGAGCTCCTCCGTGCTTCGGAAGGCACGTTAAGCCGTTGGTCCCGGCTGCATCTTCAGTCGTTATCCGCACTGGGCCCGCGTGGTGGGTCATGGCCCTATCTCTCTATGCCATCCATAGGGAAGGCCCGTGCCCCAGCAGTGGGGACATTAATAGGCTGATGATGATGTTTAAGTTATAATGCATCCTCACCCGGTATATTGTCGGTGCAGTCGGTGCAGTGCGCCGGGGAGTCGAACACGTCGTCGCTGCCCGCGCTGCAGTTCAGCAGCTCACCCACTGAACCTTGCTGTACCAAAAAAATCGGAACAAGGTTAAATGTTGCATCAAATATTTAACACAGACCGTTATCTCAACGCCTCCTCGCATCACCACCCTAGACCCTTTGGTGTATATAAGATCGACAATAGCGTGCCGAATGAAAGAACACATAAAAACAGTCAGAAACAATGATACGCAAAAGTCAGCTATTTCAGCGGAACATTTAATGGATTCAGGTCCTCCATAATCCACAAATCATCTCGACAGAACGCCACTACATACCAAGATTGGTCAGGGAAGCGATTGAAATAACCAAACACAAAAATTTCAATCGTGAGGATGGGTTTAAATTGTCAAGTGTCTGGAATCCAGTGGTTCGTATGTGCAAAAACCGCAAAAATAAAAAAAGTGTCGTTCAACGATCTGATGATGCTTTGAGTATTGTGTGTCGGGAACAGGTGCGAGTGAATAGTGAGAATGTGACCACTGGTAGGGGTATCGAGCGCAGTAAAAGACGACGTCAGAGGGTAGACCGATATGTCTGCCAATAACATCTACCCGCAATTACTTCAGTTACTCCGTGATCATGGCGCTTGCAACAGAAATATGACCGTGACCATGAAAGTTTAACACAATATATCAAATATTATTTTATAGCACAGTGTGACCTAAACCCGCACTTTACGCACGCTTTTCCGTGACCTAAGTTGCCTATTTCTGCACGGTGTGTAAATGAATTGACCAACTTCACTCATGTAGAAAAAATAAAAGGAAACACATTTAAATGTCATTTGGAGCTTAAAAACTCACAGCTAACAAATGACAAATTAGCGATAGGTTAGGAATTTTCAGTGACAGCCAAAACAAGGAGAAACGGTTAGCTATAATTCATTCCGCGAAAATTATATTTTTTGGTCGAAAATGGCCAGTTCGGATAGTGACCTAAGCGAATACGAGAACATGAATTGTACTTTCAAAACACTAATGGCATCCCTCGGGGGGGCCTCCGACCCCCCCGAACCCCCCCTCTTGCCCGCGTCCGGGGCGGGTTTATCTCACACTTAAAATAGTATACGATACTTGTGGCCTAAGTTGTCTATTACTGCACGGCGTGCAGTAATAGGCAACTTAGGTCACGCGTATCGTAATGTACTATTTTTTTATATAGCCAGGTAGGCAAATGACTCTACCTCACCTGATGTTAAGTAGTGATAAAGTCCAGACGCGAAGATAGCAGGTACAGCAGTTATAAACTGCCACACCAACCATCGACACCTTGCCGGCCTTAAATGCTTATTTACGCTTCTCTTAAAGGACCCCAGAATTCCACACCACAATTATACAAGTTCCCCAGAACAAGAAGAAATGCAATGACGTTTGAGCAATTGACAAATCCGCACAGACTACTACGTATTACAGGGGTTGTCAGATGGCCGGAATTTCCGGGATTGTCCAAGAATTTTGTGTGTTGTCCCGTTACTGGACATGGGACACCTTATTGTCCCGGATTCCGATGATTTGCCAGTTTCGTAAGAAAATAAACTAATAACGAATGACATCTGCTTGATGTTCTAATAGGGATGATGACTATATATATTTTTTTTGAAGTGAAACTTCTTTATCGGCGTTGGAAAAAAATTTACCGTCACATTTTTCGGTTACGTGTCACATTTTTCCGTTACGCGCCATCTTTTTTTATATTAATAGTTGATAGCTGAATGATCACACTGTCGCCGGCGAGAACTCTCTCTACTCATTTGTAGCTGAGTGACAATAGTTATTAAAGATAAGACTCGCTCAGCCAAACTCGCATAGCGATACTCGCTCAGCGTAATATAGAGAATGTAATATAGAGTGAAAATGTATCTCTTAAATAGTTCTAAAAAAAAGTCCGTGACACTATATATCTATTTTTAATGTGTAAGTCATTACCGCTAAAATAGTGAATCAAAACTAAAATATTATTTGATATCTATTTCCAAAATGCACATTTTGTATTATCAAATCATTTTTTATCAAAACAAATACTTTTATCGCTTTTGATATTTAAAGACGATAAACTTTGCTTTTTACACTATGTCATTTCGACAAATATTTAAAAAGTTACAACGATGACAAAGTGATAGCGCGGTGTACTATGTAAAAGAAAAAAAATGGGGTATTCGCAGTATCTGATCCTATACGAAGTACTAACAATAAAACTGTGATACAGTTCCTTCTTATTAAATGATGAAAAATATATTATCATAATAGGTATTTATGATTATTGAATTTTAATGAAAAACTCAGAATTTTACTGTATTTCATTTTTTTTAACGATATTACTCAATGTTACAAAAAAGGTTTACTTAATATAATGACAAATAACCCATTTTTCGCTAGTAAGTACATACTTATTGGAATCCCTGTATTTATTAATCAGCTTGCGATAATATTGATTTTGTAATTTTTATAGGTAAATCACCAATCAATGTAGATTTTTATAGGTAAATCACCCCTTTCATCACCCTACGCCTATAAGTATTGCGATGTTGTAGCTAAGAACCAAGTTCCCATCTACTTCTATATGGGAATTCATTATATTCGGTTTAGCTATTAGGGCACGGAAGCGCAACAAACAAACTCACTTTCGCATCTATAATATTATATTATACTTACTAGTGATCCACCCGGGCATTGTACGGGCGAAATTTATTTATCGGGATAAAATATAGCCTATGTCACTCGGACAAAATGTATTTAAATAAAGAAAAATGTTATAATACATAATGAAGCTATCTTATGTTGAATTAATATTTGAAACCGGTTTAGTAGTTTGACAGATTATTGTTGCGAAAATTGAGGCGCATCTGTAGCCTTGACCCCGCTGGTAAAGTCTTTATATGTCTTAATAAATCAATCTTTTAGACCGACGCAAGGTACTTTATAATTCCCGCGATATAAATTCCCTTACTGAAGTAACAAGACTACGGTATATACCGTCTTAAAATACTAACTAACTAAAAAGTGTGAAATAAGAAAGGTAAATTTAAAAAATCAAAAAACCCGATTGCTTAATTATACTTCAAAAAAAACTGAAAAGAAAAAAACAAGTCCAGTAGTCTATAATTCTGTTAATAAGGAACAAAGCTACTTTAACAGTCGGGACCCACTGTTGAAAAATATTATGTATTCTTGAATATCTAATGGGTCCCGACTGTTGAAGTAGCTTTGTTCCTTATTAACAGAATTATAGACTACTGGACTTGTTTTTTTCTGTTCAGTTTTTATTTGAAGTATAATTAAGCAGTCGGGTTTTTTGATTTTTTAAATTTACCTTTTTTTTTATTCTGTATCGTAAAGGTAACCAACGTTTGTATAGTAGTACGCGCACTGTTCATAGCAACATATAAATACCTAAATACATATATCCAACACTCACACCAATTAGCCTAGCCACAAAGTAAGCACTTTAAGGCTTGTGTTATGGGATGATAGGGTAACGGATAGAATACATATATTATACTGTACATATATAAGCATATTTATATAGAAAGACATATATAACATCCGGGACCACCGGGATTCGAACCCGGGACACTATGAAATCCGTCGTACAAACCATTCGGCCACGGAGGACGTCTAATATTTGTCTCTTTTCTGATCTATATGTAAAAATAAGATAACTTCGTGGCGACTTCATTAGTTACATTTAAACTCTTTCTATCCTTTAGATTTTGATGTGTAACATCTTTCCTCTCGCTTTCCTGCAATTTGTGGGAGTGATTTCGTGAAATGGGACGGAAGTGTGTAACAGGAAGTCGCGAAAACGCGCTCTATTTGATTTGATTTTAAAACATAATGTTCAAATGGCTTATTCCTTTTGTAGTAGGTTTTATAACTCTTTTTACTAATATAAGGTGAGGTTTCAAATGTTACACAACATACGCGACTACTGTCAGGAAATGACATAAAAAGCAATGTATTTGTTTCTAAGTGAAAATAATAACAATAGTCTTCGAACAACCCACAATACCTAGGAACATTTATCTCTAATATGGCTAATTGGTATGAGTAATGATATCAGTATACATAGATTACGCCGCAGCAAATATCGTACCTAAACGTGACATATCAATATTAACTATTTACATATGACCTATTTGTAAGGAAAAGTATAGTAAATAAATTATGCATGCTTGGCGCTGCCTTGCAGCTTAAGGCTAGGAAAATTTCGACGCGGCCATCAGGGCCGTGGTAGAGATTTTCTAAAACGTGGATTGTTAGATAACGGCAATGACATTCCTTAATCCCATTGAAAAATGACAGTATTTTTGCGAAAATGCGAGTCGCGAGTACGAAAAAAACCGTTGGGTTAATATAGATTAGCGGCTTCCCGCGACTTTGAAAAAGTTTTTTTGAGAATACCAAAGAAACCAAATTGTTTTTCGGCATAAAATGTATCCTGTCTCAATCCAGGTTATAAACTACATACGTGCCGAATTCCATTCAAATCCGATCAGTAGTTTTTGAGTTATTGAGTAATAAATATACAAACTTTACCATTTATAACATTAGTAGCATTTTTCTGGTTTTTGGGTTCACAGTCACATTAGGTTAGATAAATGTTGTGACCATGACGCGCGCTACAACAGCTACAAAAAAAATGTTTTAATAGTATGATCGAGCAATCTAATTAAAAAATCTAATAGGGATGGTGACGGGGTACAGTAAACGAAATTCTATTTAGTCCGTCAGTTAGAAAATTAAAAAATAATGGACACGTATTTTTCTTTGGGCAATCAACCAAAAAATGACAAAGTTATAGCGCGTCAAAGTTTGGGAGTAGGGGCTCGTGACGTCACTTTTGAGTGAATTTTCACTTATAAGTGTACTCAAACGTGACGTCATGCGACTTTTCAAATCAATATATCTCTGCAATGTGTATATTATGTGAAAAAAGAAAAAATACGTGTCCAATACTTTTTGATAATCTACCTGATAAACGAAGAAAAAAATTAGCCATCATCCCTATTATCTATGTCTATGCAAAATCCCTAAAATGTTTGTGAAATTTTGATTTATCAAATCATCTTACGATATGTAAAACAGATGTGAGTTGAAAATATGAAGTCGGAACTGGTGCTAGCGTCGCTATAAGTATGACATACATATACATACTAGCTGACCCAGCGAACTTCGTACCGCCATAAAAAAATAGGGGTTGGTGGTAGAAAGTTGAAAATTTAGGGATGTATGTATTTTTGTATGATGTATCATAAAAAAATAAAAAAAAATATATCTAAAATTGAAAAAAAAAAATTTAGGGGTAGATTACCCTTAACATTTAGGGGGATGAAAAATAGATGTTGTCCGATTCTGAGACCTACCCAATATGCACACAAAATTTCATGAGAATCGGGAAAGCCGTTTCGGAGGAGTTTAACCACAAACACCGCGACACGAGAATTTTATATATTAGATATAACCTGCAGGCTGTCCTTGCTCTCGTGCGACAGATACGTAGACACGGTGTCGACGCTGTGTCGCCGGCCCGCTCGTCCGGAGTCCCCCCCCTCTCCTGTATCTCCCCCCTCCCCGTCCGCGCCCGAGCTGGCGACCGAAGAAACGGTAGACGGCTTGTTGCTGTTACCTGAACGAAACAAACGCCGCTATTATACTGTGTTTCATCATCATTATCAGCCTATTAATGTCGCCCCTGCTGGGGCACAGGCCTTCCTATGGATGGAACGGAGAGACTGGACCCAGGCCAGGCCCAGTGCGCTGAATGCTAAGAACTGCAAATGCAGCCGGGACCGACACGGCTTGACTCGCCACTGCCGGATTTAGGGGAGGGCAACCGGGGCGAAAGCCCCGGGGCCTCCACAAACGGGGGACACCCACAATAGAGACTTCGGAAAAAAAAATCTTTCAAATTCCAACTAGTAAACATCTTTTCGGTTCCGTTCGTTAACTCTAAGATTTAATTTCAGATAATTCTTGTTTCCGTTTATATTTATGTGTATTTGTTCAAATACTAAGGGAATCTACTTGGTTCACAATAAATTATTTATCGATAAACTCGACAGAAAAAAAATTGTTTACTTTATTTGAAAAATAATTTGGGGTTAGGGGGCCTCCGCTCCTCTGTTGCCCCGAGGCCTATGGACCTCTAAATCCGGCCCTGTGACTCGCCTTCCGAAGGAGGAGCTCGACATAGTAAATTTTTGACTGAAAAAATATTCCAGTTGGTATATTACTGACATATAAGCAAACTTTGAATTTCGCCATGTCCTAAATTAAATTAAAAAATACAATTAAACACTTCTCCCTAAATGATCTTTGATTCGTTAGAGACAAATTACTAAATATTCAATACTATCATTTTAAAGAAAAAGAAATAGGTATTATTAATTTAAAAGAACTATGTTTCAATCTAGGTATGTGTAAATCGGTTTAGTAGTTTTTGCTCGATTGTGTTACAAACATACAAACTTTCACATTTATAATACACACATCAAAAGTGTCTAGGGATCAACATATATTTTTGCAATAACTTTTCTCCTGATTGATATTAATTAAAATTTTCTTTAAGGATTCATCAAATAAAGTGTTTTCGTTTGTCACAGTAACGATAAACCAAGTCACCTTTGCATTAATAAAGAAATTTGCCATTTTCCTAATAAAGGGATTTTTGACATTTGAACCACTAACACAAAAGTTCGAAAAAAAGACTGAATTAACAGTTTTCTCTAAAATTTTATTGGGTAACTTAAACAATTAATAATCCGTATTTCTACCGCGAACACTAACAACACAAGAACATCGGTTTGGCATACTCAAAATGAGTTCATCCAAATCACGCTGTGGAATGGCCGCCCATGTTCGTTGCAACAACAAAAAAAGGTCTTCTTGCGACTGGATACCCTCCATATTCGGCAGAGCTCTTCTCTGTAGCATATCCCATGCATGCTCAATCGGGTTCAAGTCTGGCGACTGAGCAGGCCAGGGCAGGACATTGATGTTAGCTGCGGCGAGAGTCTGTCTTACAACTCTTGCGGTGTGCGGTCGTGCATTATCATGCATTAACTGAAATAAGGGACCGATTTGCACTTGTAGAGGAACGATGACGTCTGATACAATCGTCTCAGCATAAATTTGAGCGTTGAGGTTGCCTCTGATCCAAATCAACTCAGTTCTTCCGCCGATCCAAATACCCGCCCATACCATGATGGTTCCACCACTATAAGGATGGACTTCCTGGCAGGATTTTAATCGCTGTTGGCGTCCAGGGGTTCTCCAGTGTCGTATACGTCTTGTATCCGGTCTCATACCAAAACGAGACTCATCAGAAAAGCACACGAAACGCCATTGTTCTTCTGCCCAATTTCTGTGTTCAAGAGCCCATTGATATCGAATCCTACGATTGTGCATTGCTATAGGTGGTACCCGTAGCGGTCTTCGGGAATGAAGGTTCACTTCATGCAAGCGGTTTCTGACTGTTTGGTCGCTAATTAAGTTCCCTGAAGAGTGATGAAGCCTCACGGCTAACATCATGGCGGTTATTGTTGGAGCTCTTCGAGTTAAGATTTGAATGTATCGGTCTTGTCTCCGTGTGGTGCAGCGATACCGTCCTCCATGGCGCTCAGCCACGGTACCAGTGCTTCGGTATCGTGTCCAAAGTCGACTGATAATACTCTGACTTGTATTCAGAGCTAAAGCCACAGTACGTTGCCGGGAACCAGCTTCTATCATTCCCACGGCTCTGAGCATTTCTTCCCTGCTTAAATGACGTCGCCGCTCCATAATAACGTTGGTTTTAATCAGTAGTAGGGAAACAGTAGCACTAATAATGTCTTCAATGCGTTGTATGTTTTTATAGGGAAAATATTGACAGCTGATTTTCATCTTTTACTCGAATTTGATTCACAGTTCCTGATTCAAATTATGAAATGCACCAAAAAGGATCCATATAAATTTATAAAATCATAAATTTATTACAAAGCCACATCTCAATCTCAAGAAATCCGCATAAAAATGCTTGATCCCTAGACACTTTTGATGTGTGTATTAGTAGGAAGTGAGCTATAGTGAATGTAAACTCACCGAATATGTTTAGATTGTGCAATATCTGCCTAGCGAAGCCCTGCTTGCGGGGCGGCGACGCGCTCCTCGCCCCGGTCCGCACCGTGGCCGCGGGGCCCGGCGCCGGCAACGACTGCACCGACTGTACCGACTGCACCGACTGCACCGACTGCACCGACTGCACCGACTGCACCGACGAGCCCGTGTGCTGCTGCGGGATGCGAGCTCGGCGACCCGTGTTTATTGCTGTACCAACATTTTAATACTCGTATACCAAAGTATACCAAATATATTGTAATTTCTAATAGGGGTGATGACGGGGTACAGTAAACGAAATCCAATTTAGTCCGTCAGTTAGATAATCAAAAAATAATGGACACGTATTTTTTCTTTGGGCAATCAACCAAAAGATGACAAAGTTATAGCGCGTCAAAGTTTGGGAGTAGGGGTTCGTGACGTCACTTTTTAGTGAATTTTCACTTAAAAGTGTAACAAAACGTGACGTCATGCGACTTTTCAAATCAATATATCTCTGCAATGTTTATATTATGTGAAAAAAGAAAAAATACGTGTCCAATACTTTTTGATAATCTACCTGATAAACGAAGAAGAAAAAATTTGTCATCATCCCTATTGTTAGGAAATTACAACATATTTTACACATTTCAAAAGGAGGCTTCAAACAGAATTCAATGTTTAAAGTCAATGTTAATATTTAAGAGCAAGCGCACATTAAGCCCCTTATCACGGCGCGGCAACGGCAATCATATTTATTGACGTTTCGCAGCCTCTTCAGGTCTGCATGGTCAGAATAATGATTTTTTAATTTACTTTGTCGAACTACCTTCGAAAGACTTTTATTGAGCATTCGGATATTTCATTGGAAGATTTTTAAAACTTTATTGTCTATGTATGAATTTATTAGTTAATTTAGTTAATAAAGTACTTCATTTAAAATTCTTTTTTGTAATTTTGAGTTTATAGTTTACGGTAGTTAGGGTCAAATAAATAAACTCAAAATTACTTAAACAAAGTACTTTATTTAAAAACCTTTTTTTTTAAGTTCGTGCATTAACCCGTTAAAACTATTTATTAAAAAAGCTTTTTACAAAATGTCTGATTACATTACAGACATAAATACTTGGGTTTGAATTGTTCCAATCATTCCAACAGGTTTTCTATATTAAATAAATCATGATTGTATTGACGCTGTAACAACAAAGGATTTCTAAAATTGCGTACAGTATACTTTTAATACTTTACTTTTAAAAAGCCTGAAATACAAGTACAATTTTAACTGTAACCTAGTTCAGGCATCCATTATTTTGTACTTTATATTGTTATTAGTATTATTATGCAATGTATGACCTTATTTGAATAAAGATATATTTATTATTAAAAAAAAAAATTAATGTTGTGGAGTTTCGTTCGCTAGTTTTTCTCCGCAGCGAAAGAAATATGTCCAATAATGAGGGGGAGGGAAAATAAAATATTTGGACGATTCAAAAGAGTTGTACTATACATCCAATTTCATAAGGGAGTGATGTATTTTTTTTATTTTTTTTTTTATGCAAAATAGGCAATGCGTTTGACCACAATCATACCTGATGGCAAGCGATGACGAGGCCTAGGATGGTACACGCCTGCCTAGAAGATGCCTGTTCACTCTGGCCTTGAAGATGTCCAGATTACATTGGTCCAGGAAAACAGACCTCGGCAAGGAGTTCCACTCCCTAGCCGTTCGCATAATGAAGGCCGAAGCAGATCGCTTCGTGCGAACGGGAGGAACTTCGACAACATAAGGGTGGAAACCCTCGCCGCGCCCGGTCGTCCGGTGATGGAAAGGGGAAGGGGGGTTATAAGGGAAGGTATATGTTAGCGGTCGTGTGTTGTTTATAACAGTAAATTTATTTATTTATTTTTTTGTTTTTCGATTCACGGTGGCAGTTCCAAAGACTCGCACTAAGCGTTTCGCGTCCAGCTTCATCGTGCGGACTGCCAAACTGTGGAATTCCTTGCCTGAGCCCTTGTTCCCCGAGCACTACAATCTAGCGGTCTTCAAAGCGAGAGTGAACCGGTTTTTATTAGGTAAGCGCGCTCCATGGTAGACCATAATATTGCTTTCCATCAGGCGAATTATGGTCAAGCGCTTACCTACTACCGAATAAAAAAAAATGGGTGCGTGTACTTATGTAGGCGCGTGAGAAGTTATCCTTCTTTGGCATCGTTTAAAATTAGTTTTTAATTGCATGCAAATAATTAATTGCAATAAATTAATAAAAAGTCTGGAAAAGGACACAAGGTCAATAAAGTTCAGTTTTAATTTGAAAAAATAAATAAATAATCAAAATATTCAATTAAAATCGCTACTGAATATAATTTATTAGAACATTTATGTGATTTGCACTTGTATGAAACTCAAACACGTAATCCGAATATACAAACTAGAAACATGTGGATAAATATTATAAATATGAATACCTATAACTGTTACTTTATTACAAAAAATAAAGATGTGGTTTTTGGTTCTACTACACCAATGGTCAAGAGATGGCGCTGTAGTCTCCTGAATCGCGCTTTGGTTCCGTTGTTCCAGATTAATAAATACTTTTGATAGGCCTTCACAATGCAGTCGTTAGCACCCACTAAATAGAGACTCTATTTCTATTTTGTTGGTAGATTTTCTTAATGTGCGATAAACACAAAAGTAACAGCATGAAGTTGGTCGCTAAAGCGACCAACTTCATGCTGTTAAAGTTTTGTGTTACAGTGATGCGCGCGCATCTTAAAATTTCACTCTCATCATTTTTTCATAACGCGCCTAAAGAAGTATAACTTCAATAAAAGAAGTACGTTTATGGGGTGTAGATAGAGGCAGGGGCGTATGTTAAGGTACTGTGATGCGTGTCAGTGTTAGCTTACGGGGCACTGCAGGCGGCGGCGGCGCAGGCGGCACAGGTTGTATGGGCATAGCCCTCGGATAGGGCGGGGCGGCGGTGCGCCTCAACAGACGAATCCCCCGGGGGCCGGCGGCCACGCCCCGCCGGGGGCTAAGGCGCCAGCCCCCACACGCGCCCCCAGCCCCGGCCGCCCAGGCCGACTCCACCACGCCCTGCATCTGTACCGATAAAAAGGTGTGGATACATTCCAATGTACTCGATTCTGCACTGAAATCTAGACAGATATCATCTCTTATCTATTAGACAGGTCCGTCCGTCCGTCTGTCTCTGGTGCTGTTTCAGCGGCCAAACCGTAACAGATAGATAAAGAGAATATTTAAGTTATAAGTTAAGAATAGTCTGATAAGACTACAGACCGGATTTGAGTGACGTAGCACTTCCGGTTTTCGAGAAATCACGAATTTCATTTTAAGCGTATAATAGGGGTAATGACGGGGTACAGTAAACGAAATTCTATTTAGTCCGTCAGTTAAATGATCAAAAAATAATGGACACGTATTTTTTTCTTTGGGCAATCAACCAAAAAATGACAAAGTTATAGCGCGTCAAAGTTTGGGAGTAGGGGCTCGTGACGTCACTTTTGAGTGAATTTTCACTTATAAGTGTACTCAAGCGTGACGTCATGCGACTTTTCAGATCAATATATATCTGCAATGTTTGTATTATGTGAAAAAAGAAAAAATACGTGTCCAATACTTTTTGATAATCTACCTGATAAACGAAGAAAAAAAATTAGTCATCATCCCTATTCTTATTGTAAATTGACAATATTGTAAGGAAAGACGTCATGGTTTACATCTTTTATATAGTTGTAATTTTGGAATTTTAAGCATTGAACTGCTGGATGTTTTAAATCTAAAGAAAATTTTACTAGAAAAAATTCCACGCGGACCAGGCAGCAGCCCTGTGTGGCTTACCTACAATGCGAAGAGTTGGCGCTGCATTGCAGCCTAAGGCTAGAGAAAATTCGACACGGCCGTCAGGGCCGCGGTAGCATAATGGTCGGTGCATTCGCCCGGATAGCGAAGGGTCTGGGTTCGAGTCCTGCTGCCTGGTCCGCGTGGAACTTTTTCTAGTAAAATTTTCTTTAGATCTTTTATATATATTCTTTTCTTATTTCATAGTACCCACTGGTCTTTTATTTATTAATACTTTTAAAATTACTTAAACTATTAAAGACCCGATGTGGATTATGACTCCTTCCAAATAAATAAAAATAGAAAACGTAAAGGAAGGACATAAAACTTGCTGAATTACTTGCCGGTTCTTCTCAGACGAGGCTTTCTGGTAGACTCTTGAACCAATGACATCAAATTTGACTTTCATAAGTATACAAATTATACCTAAATGAATAAAGAAATTTTGACTTTGATAGGCGGAACCGCGTCATCGACTGACTACTACAAACTAATAGTGTCGTTAAACACGCACACACACAGGAGTACCACCCACTTTCATTGGGTCTATGGTGTGGCTGAAACCAACGCTACCGGAGACCTCTACTCTCTCTCTCCGAAACGAACTTTCGATTTCGACGACCTCCGTGGCCGAGTGCTTTATACGCCGGGTTTCATGGTGTCGCCTACTCGAGAGGTCCCGGGTTCAAATCCCGGTGGGGGCAGATGTTTGTGTGATGAATACGAGCATTTGTACTCCAGTCATGGATGTTTAATATGTATTTCTATATAAATATTCTTATATATGTACAATATATGTATTGTATCCGTTACCCTAGTATCGCATAACACAAGCCTTTAATATAAGTATGGCACGCTCCATTTCAAGTCATAATCCACATCAAAGTCATAGGGGCCCCATTACCCTAATATGCCCAGGACCTCCAATAGGTTAAAGTCGACCCTGTTTATACCTATAAAATATAAAAATAAATACATCACAATTAAAGCTCGAAAGTCATAAAGCACCTACTCTGTATCAACGAAAAACTAAATTTCGATCGAAATTTCGTACGTTCTTTACTCTCTTTCTTTCTCATTTCGAAAATTCCATCGTTCGAAAATAGTTCGACAGTTAAATTCTCCAAGCCTCCTCTAGTTCACAAAACTTTCGAAGGAAAAGTTGAATTTGACAGATAATCGTTCGAAATTTTAACCTCAAATTGACGAAATGAAAAGTTTTACCTTTTCATAAAGTAATCAAAAATTGATTAGTTGACATGCTAAAAATATTCATCTCGCTAAGCAGCCTTCATTAAAAAATACTCAAGCAGTCATTTTAAGCTTAATTAAAACAAAAATCGCAAAACTAAAATGAAAAGGTAACACTTTTCATTTAATCAATTTGAAGTAAAAATTTCAAACAATCATCTTTCAAATTCACCTTTTCGTTCAAAAGTTTCGTGAATTAGAGTAGGCTTGGAGAATTAATTTGCCAAACTATTTTCAGACGAACGAATTTTCGAAATGAAAAAGTAACAGAGTGAGGAACGCGCGAAATTTAGATCGAAATTTCATTTTTCGTTGAAACAGAACAGGCATCCTGAACCATCCGGCACCAGGAGCTCTATTTTTGAATCACTCGTCTGACATAGTATCGTCGAATGCGACATAAGTCACCTTTGACTTTCAAGTCCATTGATACTGATTTTCCGTATTTTTTAATCACTCGTCACCAGGTGTTACCTGTCTGATACGAAATTTTACTCATTTCACGCAGAAATAATAAAAACCCGTAATTACTACTCTTTGTCGTTTCATTTAAAGCATGACAATGATAGATTATCGTCGTCTAATAGCACAAAAAAAAAATGGGTGCGTGTACTTATGTAGGCGCGTGAGAAGTTATCCTTCTTTGGCATCGTTTAAAATTAGTTTTTAATTGCATGCAAATAATTAATTACAATAAATTAATAAAAAGTCTGGAAAAGGACACAGTCAATAAAATTCAGTTTTAATTTGAAAAAAATAATAAATAATCAAAATATTCAATTAAAATCGCTACTGAATATAATTTATTAGAACATATGTGATTTGCACTTGTATGAAACTCAAACACGTATTCCGAATATACAAACTAGAAACATGTGGATAAATATTATAAATATGAATACCTATAACTGTTACTTTATTACAAAAAATAAAGATGTGGTTTTTGGTTCTACTACACCAATGGTCAAGAGATGGCGCTGTAGTCTCCTGAATCGCACTTTGGTTCCGTTGTTCCAGATTAATTAATAAATACTTTTGATAGGCCTTCACAATGCAGTCGTTAGCACCCACTAAATAGAGATTCTATTTCTATTTTGTTGGTAGATTTTCTTAATGTGCGGTAAACACAAAAGTAACAGCATGAAGTTGGTACCTACCTCCATGGGCATAGGCTCGTATCGTACGATGGCGCGCTCCCAGCGGCTCCCCTACCTACCTCCATGGGCATAGGCTCGTATCGTACGATGGCGCGCTCCCAGCGGCCCCCCCTACCTACCTCCATGGGCATAGGCTCGTATCGTACGATGGCGAGCTCCCAGCGGCTCCCCTACCTACCTCCATGGGCATAGACTCGTATCGTACGATGGCGCGCTCCCAGCGGCTCCCCTACCTACCTCCATGGGCATAGGCTCGTATCGTACGATGGCGCGCTCCCAGCGGCTCCCCTACCTACCTCCATGGGCATAGGCTCGTATCGTACGATGGCGCGCTCCCAGCGGCTCCCCTACCTACCTCCATGGGCATAGGCTCGTATCGTACGATGGCGCGCTCCCAGCGGCCCCCCTACCTACCTCCATGGGCATAGGCTCGTATCGTACGATGGCGCGCTCCCAGCGGCTCCCCTACCTACCTCCATGGGCATAGGCTCGTATCGTACGATGGCGCGCTCCCAGCGGCTCCCCTACCTACCTCCATGGGCATAGGCTCGTATCGTACGATGGCGCGCGATGGGGGCGCCAGCAGCGGGGCCCACTCCCAGCGCACGCCGCGCCCGCCCGGCGACTGCACGTCGTACAGCGCGCGACGCACCAGGCACTCCGACATAGATCCATCTGCACAACGGTTAGGTTTAAACCCGCGGCCGGAATACTAAGGCGACTGCGACATGACAGTGATCTTGTGAAAACAAACTCTTATAAACATGGTGATCGCATTGCAGATGTTTCTGCTACTGCGCTGTTGCATCGCGGTATCAGTGCAGCCTCGGCCTTAATATACATATTTGTTTCTTAGGTTTTCACGCACATCACTCATTAAATAAAACTAGTTTTTACGGGTTAATGCACGAAGCTTTATTTATTTATGACGTTTCGTAGCCTTTACAGGCTTCATTGTTCTTTTTGAAGGTAGCTCGACAAATTAAATAAAAGTTTTATTCTGACGACGAAGCCTGTAAAGGCTACGAAACGTCATAAATAAATAAAGCTTCGTGCACTAACCCGTAAAAAGTAGTTTTGTTCCTTAGTATACACTTAAAGGATGGACTGAGTGTGATCATGTGACAATAATGCTATTTCATATCAAAGCAAAATTTTATTAACACTATGGTGTTGCTTCTAGCATGATTCTCGAAACTTTAAACTAAATTTAACATCAGTCTCTCCTTTTGATTCTGTAAAGAAAGACTGTGACAAGGATACACTGTTGTCAAATTAAAGTTTAGGTATATAGATAACAATTTATTAATTAATAAATGCTATTTAATGGATTACAAAAATAGGCTTTAACCCAAAAATATTGAAATGTTCTAGAAAATTGTCAACAAAACATGGAGATGTACTCCATGTTTTCTTCTCTTTTCTCTTGAAAAGAGAAAATTTGAAATGAAAAGAATATATCATAGAAATATTAGGAAGGAGCAATTTTTCAAGCAAAATAATATGTAGGACAAATCAGGCACTTTACGCTCTTTGATATCTCAACTATTTCCCTCTTTAATAGTTCCATTGAGACCGAAGACAATAAAAATAATTTTGTCAGCAAATATCCAAATGCTTACTCAACCAAATACTTAAGAGTACATTACTCTTTCCTGCCATACTAAGATTGATCACTTTTATCAACATTAGCTCACTCATCAATATGGGATACCCCACTCATGGGATAGGGAGAATAATAATAATATATTTATTTATTTCTCCTCACAACATGATACTATTGTAATAGGTGAATACTGAAATGATAAATCTGTAGGCTGTGAGAAGCTGGTGTCTGACATGGGTAAAGAAATACCTGTATTACAGATCACCAGGCCCTCGGCCAACCAGAATGAGATAATTACAATACAACTTTACCAAAACAATTCTACAATATAGGAGAACTTATATAAAAAGACAAATTAAATATGAGAATGGGTCATAATAATCCACCATGATAAGACTGACCAACACTGGCATAAAATCATTAGTTGTACAGAAGCTTGCACCATAGCTTCTGTACAACTAATGATTTTATATTATATATTTTGTGCTAATACCCATACAACCAATTTAATTTCTATAACTTTTCTACTCAGATTTATTTTACAATTTGGTATTAACTTACAACTACAAATGACTGTTTGTTTTTTATATTATGATGTATTAGATAATATTTTCCTTATATCATTCATCACTATATAATTAAATAGTATAGCTATCTAATTAAATCAGTACCTGGTGTGTCCACACACTGAGTAAGTGTTCTCAAATTAACATAATGCCCTTTAAGGGCTGGGTCAGCATCAGCTAACACGACCCTTGTGAGTTTCTTGCCATGGGCTCGTTCCAAGGTTCGGGTCACTCCTGGAGTGTGTGGCAACCACTGGCCCTCGCTCTGCCACTCCCACACTACTATACAATGAGTGGATGACATCACTTTTTATATTGCATGTCCTGAAACATTAAATAAGAACAGCTCATGTCTAATTGATCTTCAAAATTATAGTAAATGGTCACCAAAAAATACAATTGCCTAAATGTTAGGTTGGGAGTTGTAAATTTTGATTTTTCTATTTTTGAGGATCATAAATATTTGCCAATATTATAACAGTTTCACTAACAGAAACTAAGAATTGGGGATTTAAAATGCTATCAAAATAATAATAACATTAATGTCAGAAGTCATTCATCATAATGCACTAGAATAGTAATTTGGTTTTTTGAAAATATGCTTCATAATACTGATATATATATTAGTTTCTAATTTTAAACCTTAGTATCTACTTCTAGAAGTTCATGTAGAACCCTGCAAATATTGTAAAGCAAGCTTAACTTTGTTTGTAGGAATTTATTCATAAGTTCAGTCAAAGTAACCCTACTGTTGTGATTTTTGTGACTAAGATTATCTACTTATTTATTCACCATTACACTTGTAACTTACATTACTTTAGCAAGAACGACGACTGGAATGCAATTGTTTAAAATAAAAATACGTTTCATGTAACGTCAGCCATAGAAACATTAAAACCTGCACAAGACTAACACAATCAAAATAGTGTGCTAGCGGGAAAGCAAAAGATAAAACGTTATAGTAACAAATAACAATGCTAGTCACTCAAAGTTTAACAAATAAATTTAATTCAACTCATGATTTAACTACAATCACCCAAAACTTAACAACAACCACACCACAGATTTACGATTATAATTTTAACTTTATTTTACAGCAACACAAAGTGCGACCAAGATCTAAGCGCCACACAAGAACGTCGGATTATTGTCGCATTGTCTGTACACAAACCATGGGCGTATCTATAAGTACATACTACACATCATACAGCTGGCCTGCGTTTCGAACTTACACTACAGGTGTCAATTTTGACCTCTGTTCAATAACTTCGTGTTTGTTCCATACATTTTATGTCAAAATTAAAATGTCAGGGTAAAAAGTTTCACTCAGAACGTAGGTTTCGAACGTAGCCCTGTATATTGATCACAGAGATAGGGATGTGATATTGTACATAAAAAAATGATTTTAATTAATCGTTTTTTTAAACACGATACAATCGATCAATAAGTAATCGTTATTTTTAAGAAAATAATCCGATTTTTTATATTAAACGGTTTTTCCTAATTTTTCAATCAATTTGAAAATAAATACCATAAATATTATATCAATAGATTTATTAATTAAAAATAAACAACAGAAAAAGTAAGTTCTTAAATAATCAACACAAATTAAAGTTTTATATAGAACAATCAAATTATAAACAACAAAATTTTCACAAACTTAAATTATAGAAATAAATAAAAAATAAACGTTGTTAGGAATATCGATATTTTGAATTTTAGCTCTCAATATCAGTTACCGATAGGCTTAATTCGTTTGGCACTGATAAATCAAGCATTTAACATGACATAACGATACGAATAAATGAGCTGAATGAATTTACGTTCTATTTATTTAGTTATTTTCCTAAGTCTACGCAACCGACGGAAATCGAAATCCTTTTTTCACGAAAAATGTTAGCAGCTCCCTTTGTTGATTTTTGTTTTTAGTAAATAGTCAAAATTAAAACTTAAGTTGATGTTGATTTCACTGTCTTTTAATATTTACAATAGGCTAGTTGACTCATGTCGAATTGTATTAAATAGATGTTTATTTCTTAAAGTATTTGGTCTAATGAACCTAAATATATCGATTTCACTTTATAAAAGCAGAAGATTGCTGTAGAAATTTAATTTAAAAAAATGATTTTTAGTCTATACTTTTTAAACACTAAAAACGCTGTTTGCCACATCCGCCATGATTGTGACGTCTCTTTTAGTAAACAGCTAAATGTCATTCATACATAACTTTAAAACTTGTATTATTAAACCTGATTATAAATGAAGAGACTTATAATATTATTCAATGAGTACTTACATCAAAGCGATCTTCGTAGAAATTAATTTTACTATGAGTCGATAAAGTTGCAGGACAGGGATGTCGAAAGTCGAAAAAAATATCGATATATCGATACATCGATATTTAAAAAAATATCAATATCGGCTTCGATATATCGCGAAAAAAACATCGATATATCGGACCAATTTTCCCAAAAATATATTTAGTTAGCACAGTAATAATAGTTCAAAACAAATTATAATTAAAGAAAGAATTATCAAATTACCAATTTGCCGCTACACTACATGACAGTACAGTATCTCACGAAATATGACACGCGGAATAATAATGGAACGAAAATTATCTCCCTAAAAATAGACCCTATTTTCGAATGATGAAAATGATTGCAGGGCCTCTCAGGTGCCATCTTTCGTTAACAAGACTAGACAGTCACACACTTCCACAGAATATAATGGAAATCAGTACACCCAATTCACCAGCGAAACAGATTTACAAATAATAGACAATACTAAATACAGCACAAATCATAGATATGTTGAATATCATTAATCTGAGATCCAGTTAGGATTTTTCCAGATACAAATTTAGTTAGATCGTGATATGCCGCTAATAATAAAAAAAATATCGTTTTGATACGAATTTCGATATTGGTTATTTTGTATCGATATATCGAATCAAAATATATCGGCAAAAAATATCGATATATCGAACAAAAAATATCGATATATCGATACGTCGATATATTTTCAACAAGCCTATTGCAGGATCACTCTTAGCAAGTTCTAACCAGGTAATGGTGTCGATTCTAGCGTGATTCTCTAAACTTAAAACTAAATTTAACATCAGTCTCTCCTTTTCATTTTGTATTGAGAATGACAAGGATGCACTGTTGTCAAAATTAAGTTTAGCTTTAGAGAATCATGTCAGAATCGACATCATTGTGTAGGTTAATTTCTTTCGGCACTTTAATCCACAACTTTCAAACTGGAGTCTTCAAGGATGTGTTTTTACATTCTCGTACAATACAATAATGATAATTACTATATTTTTCGTGGTATTTATTAGAAATCATGTTTTTTTTTTATTATTGTAAACTCAGATAGGTTCTTTTTTACGTGCTTACGAATTTTTGTTTACTACCGTCGACGTCATAGCATAGACAATCTATAGACTAAAATGGCCGACAGTGTTTTTGTATGTCCATGAAAAGTCTATTTTAAAATTAATGATTTGTAGCTTTCTAGGTCTTAAAAAAATGCAATACATTTTTTTCGGTCTAATAGAACATTTATTAACCATTTACAACCTTTTTCCAAAAAGGGTCTACTAGCCTATTAGTAAATATTAAAAGACAGTGACTTTTGAAAGTGTAAATAGATTAAAATCACAATTTTTTTTTTGTGTATTGTTGTATGTCAATTTAATTTTGTCAATATCTCGAGAAATGGTAATGAACTTTTTTGAAAAAGAGAATGTAATAATAGTGGTGTGCATTTTTTTAAAAAGAAAAATTCATTTAAAACCACAGACATATAACTAGTAGTATTATATGTCTGTGTTTAAAACAACGATAACAAAATCAAAAAAACCTTAAACAAAAGTTAATTTCTTAACATGTAAAAAACATAACGATGCCTTAAAAGCTTATAAGTTTACTAATGCTTATTAATGCTTAAATGACGTAGAGCAAAGCTATTTCTTGTAACAAAACACTTAAGCAAATAAGCTTATAAAGCTTTTAAGGCAACGTTTTTTTTATCTTTATGTTCAACTTATTCAACATTATGAGATTTAAGCAGTTTAGATTAGAACAAGTCTATTCATTGGTAGTTCGCGTTCCGGGCTCCGGGTCAGGAAACCAGTGCTGCCATTTTAGCGCTTTGCGCGCTAGATCTCGCGCTTTTCTGGTGTGGTTAGCGCCTATTTCAAAATTTTAGCGCCTAGCGCATAATCAGGCGCTTTTCCTTTTATGTCACCGATAATTTATTTCCAAGGGAAAACCCTCTATTATTATTTTTATAGCAGAACTACACTTATTTGTCGTCTTGTGTTGTGACGCGTCAGACAGGGAACCGGTTTCATAAATTGAGTACGGTTAGAACTATACTTGTGTGTCGCGATGTGTCAACACCGTTCTCACTCTAACCGTACTAATAAATATATGAAACCGATATAATTATGTATGATGCGTCACAACACAACACGACAGATAAGTAGTATAGTATTGCTGCCGGTAGTTCATGGTTTTGTTTTCATTCATTCATGTTTAAATTTTGCTGGAAGTTAAAAAGAAATCATGTAGTTATACATTCTGCGACAGATTAGGATTGGGATATGTGAATAATATTGTAAGACAAAAAATACATGAATGGGCATAATGAAGCTGGCCCTATTTAAGCTATGGAAGATTATTTTTGAATTAAGATTAAATATATTTATTTTGACGTTTTGGTTGAAATTTGTCTGTTTTTTATTTAATAAAAAAGCTGAAGTTAATTTAGCGCATAATCTAGCGCTTTTTTAAAGCGCGGTTTTCTTGAAAGCCCTGCAGGAAACCAAACTTAATGTCGCGAAGTTGCAGATGAAAAATCAGTAATAATTGCTTGAATGGTTATTAAAAAAACTGATAATTAATCCATTATTCCTAAAAATAAAATGACGTATGTAAATAGATTGTTACTTAAAAAAACGATTTTTAATAATCGATTATATTTTCAATCCCTACACAGAGAACTTATTGATTAACAATGACGTTCTGACTGACATTTCCTTCTCGAAAAAAAAAGAAATTCGGCGTGCGTGATATTAGATTGAAGTAGGTAGCGTCGCGTCTTATCGCATTCTTTATAAATAAAAACTTCCTAAAATTCTTCATTAGCAATGGTTTATAGTAGACAATGTAAGTATAAACAGTCAATAATATAAATTATCATGAAAATTTTAATATTGTGATGTCTTTGTCAGTGAATATTTATGAACCTGCTCGTGTAGGCTTCGCCATTTTAGATGCGTCAAATCTGTTCTATTTTGCAAAAAATAATGCATCAAAAGATAATACAGTGCGATGTTCCAGGCGTGTATTGACTGTGAGGTGTATTACATGCTTATTTACAACCAGTGTGTTACAAACAATCTTGTTTCAAATAAATCAACACCTCTTTTTGTTCCTCAGACAACACTCGGAACTCCACCGGCCGCTATAATAACTCTGGACAATTCGTAGCTGCAGGAGCGGTAAGAAATAGATCAACTTTCCACTGATCATAGTTAATTATTTGTAAGATATTTTAATGTACAAATACTGATGACTGCATTATTGTGACAGCATTATGCCGAGCCCCACAAGCCCTGGTACTGGCTATGCAAAGTCAACAGTTACTCTCTGACTGGCATAAAGGTCCTAAACATCTTTCAACCTGCATTGGACGAGATGAGGGAATGAAATATGCTCTAAAGTCTCTTCTAATGTTTGGTTTCCACCAGAGGCATTTTTCTCTGAGATCAGTATTGCTAAATATTTATAATGAATTCATTGGCTCATGGTGGTAGATTAGTGTGATGTGGCCTGTAGCCTCTCAGAGGGTAGCCCTGTGGGTTGAGAATACATTATGATCACGAGACGAATAGTTTCGTGCACATATAGGGTTCTCTAGACTTAAGTAGACAGTAAGCTGCCACGGATTCCTAGCATGCTCACACCCTCTGGAATTGTAACTACAGATTTGATACTGAATATGTTACAAATGACAAATTGTCTAGTAATGCAGCTGCAAAGTGAGACCATTTGGATTTGTCAGCAATGTGATGGTTAGTTCAATTTCACCGGGTGTTGACATGATAGGAATATGGTTGGCGATGGGTGATGTGAAACCACCCTCACTGTATGGCTGTTGTGATTGGTATATCACCTAAATCCCATGGCATGTCCCGTCTCTTCCTCCCGTTATGAATGTTTTGTGTGAGAGTGGGAGGTGTGACACATGACCTACGTAGCTGAACAGTGCCAGCCGGCAGTGGGCCTTGAGTTCCAGTGATGGTGTGATGGCATTACCCTGAGGTGCTACGGTTATGCTCTGAGGTGCTACATTATTGTAAGTACTGAACTTTTGGTAAGTTATATAAAAATGAAGGCTGACACAACAAAAAAAATTGCTAGAACATGTAATTGTGATATTTGTGTATAAAGATATTGTTAATTTTATCCAATTTTTCTCTCTAGCAAACATCATATTAATACATGAGTAAAATATTTCTTATATCAGCAATTATAAATTTAAAAAATGATATATATCATTGATATATACATCCAAGGATAAGATTCTTAACATCACACTAATATTATAAAAGCGAAAGTTTGTTACTTCTTCACATCTAAATGACTGAAGTGATTTTTATAAAATTTGGTTTAGAGTTAGCTGACACCTTGGAACACATAGGCTATGTTTTACTGTGGGAAAAAATTACTCAATAAACCGTGGATAACACTATGGGGCACAGCTAGTATATCATAAAACCCTGTTATGTATATTATCTGTCTCAGCTGTATATAACAGCATAGAATACACAATTAATTTTTATGGACTGGTGTCATAAAATAATAATTTACTAAATTTAAACCATAACACAATGTTTGAATTACACTGAAACTATCAATAAATTAGATGTATTATTGTGTCGCTCCTTTATTTTAAATTAATGGTAAATAAAACCTATGGAAAAAATAAAGTTTTTGAAATTGAAATAAAACAGGCAGAAGAAAACAGTTTTCTTTGTTGAAGAAGTCTACCAAGACTGAATTAACAATAATTTGAATTTTCAGATGAATCATGATCTCTTAATATGATCATTGACCACAACACTACATTGATTAGAACTTGATGTAAATATTGTAATATCAAATCCATTTTTATAGTAATGTTCTATGAACCTTGTTTTTTATGAGTCTCCGATATTTTGGCACTGTTGCAAGCGCTATGATCACGGAGTAACTGAAGTAATTGCGGGTAGATGTTATTGGCAGACATATTTAAAAAACAAGGTACATGATAACAATCCCGTTAATAGCTATAATGTTAGTGACCATGAAAGTTTAAAACAATATATGTTCTATGAATATTACATACATGATGATTTGAAACGTTAAGCCAGTCTAAGCAGAAATATATCAAAATTAATGGGTTTTAAATGTCAAAATTTACTTTAAGTTCATATCAGCTTCACATGGTAAATCTCCTGGCCATTCACAGTTCATAATAGGCCATGTGATTGGTATCTATCTAGCACACACTACATAAGAACATACCCATACTATGTGACCGTTACGTTTCTATTTTATTATCCCTTGCTGACCACCGATAATATGTGCCAAGACCCCACCTCCCCTCTAGTTTTCACGTAGTAAATTATAAGTCGTGGTACGAAACTCTAGCGCAGACCGTTATTGTGTAGTTGTAGAAATTAAGATGTCCTGGGGTCAATAGAAGTGTGGGTTGCGCCAATTGTTTCTCCAGTCGTACCCATGCCCAGCTATCTCCTCCGCGTATTGTTCAGCGCTACATTTACGTGCCGCGACCTGTAACATGGTTTTATCATTATTTTGCACACTGAAAGTGAAAAAAAAAACATTAATCTGGTTCATATTAGTCTTTATTGATATGGCACTTGCCGCGTGATGCCAAGAGCACATGCAAAGTGCAAACCTACAATAGGGATGATGACTAATTTTTTTTTCTTCGTTTATCAGGTAGATTATCAAAAAGTATTGGACACGTATTTTTTCTTTTTTCACATAATATAAACAAACATTGCAGAGATATATTGATTTGTAAAAGTCGCATGACGTCACGTTTTGGTACAATTTTCACTCAAAAGTGACGTCACGAGTCCCTACTCCCAAACTTTGACGTGTTTTATCTTTGTAATTTTTCGCATAAAGAAAAAATATGTGTCCATTATTTTTTGATCATCTAACTGAGTGACTAAATAGAATTTCGTTTACTTTACCCCGTCATCATACCTATTATAAGTATTAAAAATAATATCAAGAAGAATATTTCCCTAGACCCTTTTCTCCAGTGACCAGTCGTGGTATTTTGAAGACATCTCTCCCCTCCTAAACGCAGTGGCGGCGCTAGGCGTCGGCGACGTCAGCCACCGCCGACGGCCTCGCGCCTGAGGGGGCCTCGCAAAAAATTTTTACAAGTTACCTATTTATTTTCGTTTCTCCTGGCCTGGCTTAGGTAGCCGACCCCGAACAATTCGGGGGAAAAGCTAAGCAGATGATAATGACTTTTATTATTTTCGAACATGTGCGTGATGGAAGCGAGTAGTACTTTACGGGTATTCAGAATCGTCTGTCGGGCAACACTATTTTTGTAATTAAATTTCTTTTTTTTTATTTTTTTTTGCCATCATTTGATTATCAACAACAAAACTCGTTCACTCATACGTTATTTTATAATTTGGCTCACTTAATTTAACGGTTTTTTACTGCGAAGTAAAATAGGCCTCGCGAACTTGATGTCGCCGACGTCCACAAGTGGTCTAGCGCCGCCACTGCCTAAACGGGTCAACTTGATGTCGCCGACGTCCACAAGTGGTCTAGCGCCGCCACTGCCTAAACGGGTCACGTAGTATGAGTATGTTCCCTAACTATTGAGCTGTGGGCTCGAGTAACAGTGAGTTTGGGTAACAGCCGCAGCAGCAGCAACAGCCGCAGTACCAGCAGCCTGCGTATAACACGCAGCAGTTCCAGCCGCCGCCGCCGCCGCCGCAGCCGCAGCCGCCGCAGCAGTACCAGCGAAACGTGCATACCATCAACACCCAGCAGCAACAGTTCCCTAAGCAACTAAAGGTTACTTGTTTCTTAGGTTTTCACGCAAATCACTCATTAAATAAAACTAGTTTTTTACGGGTTAATGCCCGAAACTTTATTTATTTATTGACGTTTCGTAGCCTTTACAGGCTGCGTCGTCAGGGAACGTCAATAAATAAATAAAGTTTCGTGCATGAACCCGTAAAAAACTAAACTAAAGGTTACTTAAAATTTTTATTATTTTTAAAGCATGTAACTGCTTGATGTTCAAATCTAAAGAAAATATAACTAGAAAAAATTGATTACGAAGAGTGCGGGTTCGAGTCCCGTCTGCTGCCTGGTCCGCTTGGAATTTTTTCTAGTTATATTTTCTTTAGATTTGAACATCAAGCAGTTACATGCTTTAAAAATAATAAAAATTATAACTATAATTGCTATTTCTTCTTTTAAATGATTAATACTTGTAAAAGTATTCATTTGATATTGTGGGTTACCTATAATACGAAGAGATGGCGCTGCGTTACAGCTTAAGAATGGCTAGAAGAATTTCGACGCGGTCCGTGAGGGCCGCGGCAGCATAATTGGTCAGTGCATTCGCCCGGATTGCGAAGGGTGCGGATTCGAGTCCCGTCTGCTGCCTAGTCCGAGTGGATTTTTTTCTAGTTATATTTTCTTTAAAGGTTACTTGTTAATATCTACTCCTTTATTCCCAGTCGACTGGCAATAAGGGATGTCTACTTATCCCGATACCAGTCATTGTGATATTCATTTCGTCACACTACAATCCTGAAGAAACTCGACAGTCTTCGCGACACTCCACACTTTTCGTGAATCGTGTCGTTTGACACTGAAACTCATCACTCCTCCTACCTACTAATTTCTGCCTGCTACTTGTCACTCGATACTCTGCGCAACACTCGCCACCCTACGCGACTCTCGGCGCTTCCCGACATTGGTGACTTCCCGAGACGCTCGAATCATCTCGCGGGCTTCCTCCAGACACACGAATAACCTTGACCTTTTGGTACTTCGCACACTGAAATGAAATGTCATTTATTCAGTTTAGACTGTTACAAGCACATGTGAAGGTCAAGAAGCTACGCCATCGGTTCGCAAAACTACGGCGGGAGACCTTCTACTGAGAAGAACCGGCAAGAAACTCACCAAGGGCTGTTTTTTTCTCCCTGTATTGTTATATACAGTGTCGTCAAGTTGAAAAATTACTTCAGAAATACGTCTGAAGTCACTTTCCATTACATCATCTAGATTATAAATATATAGTTACAATTAATTTTATAGTTAACATTATGTGTAGTATATAGGACACTCGACGCTATAACATAATAATGATGTGTTTTATATCGCAGGAGGATATGGAGATGAATGCTGAGCCTGTCGCAGAGGCGGGCGGCGCCGGCGGCGAAGAGTCGGGCCCCCCGCGCCCGCACTGGATGAAGTCCAAACTGCCTGGCTGTAAGTATTAATGATAATAATAATAATAATAATCATTTATTTCAGATATTTATAGTAATACTAGCTGCCCCAGCGAACTTCGTACCGCCATAAAAAAATAGGGGTTGGTGGTAGAAAGTTAAAAATTTAGGGATGTATGTATTTTTGTATGATGTATCATAAAAAAATAAAAAAAATAAAAATTTTATCTGCTATCGTTGAAGTTAAACAACTTTCGCAGTGGTCGGTCATTGGATGGGTGACCAAAAATTTACTATCTCGATCTCCTCCATGCTTCGGAAGGCACGTTAAGCCGTCGGTCCCGTCTGCATCTGCAGTCGTTGGCACCTACCAATCCACACTGGGCCCGCGTCTTAGCCCAATCTCCATATTCCATCTCTAGGGAAGGCCTGTGCCCCAGCAGTGGGGACATTAATAATAATAAATTTTATTTTCTTTAACATTTGTATTAGTTACATTATAATACTCATGATTGAAGCCACCTTTTAAGCAAATAATACCTATGACAGGTGACTCCGCTCTTCCATACATAAAATTACAGTTCGCTTAACGATCTTGATGTTTAAACAAAAAAAGGGACTTATAAATATAAGCACATATGAATAATAAATCTTTATATTTTTGACATGGATTTAAAATAAAAATACGAAAGTCTTGTGTATATTTATTTGTGTGTTTATGTGGAGTGTGTATGTGTGTGTGTGTGTGTATTTGTACGTGTGAGTGGGTGGTGATGCTATGTTACTTATACCTATTGTAACAAGGCCTCCGTTTCCTCATAATTCAACGAAGTTATGTAGTTTATTACATATTTTTAACATTCGTGTGAGGTTTTATTAGTATATATATATATCTACGATTTTATTTATTTTATAATATAGATATGCCGAACGAAAATTATATTGCATGGATCTACATGATGGATTAATAGGCTGATGATGATGATGATGATAATATGATATGGAGGATGGTAAATATTGAGTGTTGTTTGCAGTGAAGAAGATCAGCAACCGCGAGAAGCGGCGCCGCCAGAATAACCACCTGCGGCGACTCATCACGCCCAAGAACGCGCTCATGGTGCTCAACGAAATGTTGCCCCCGGAACAGCTCGCATCTACTGTATGTCAAAACATATGCTTTTTACAATAATGTCTTATTTCACTGGCACTTTATTAGCCTAGCCCCAAAGTAAGCACTGTAAGGCTTGTGTTATGGGATGCTAGGTAACGGTAACGGATAGAATACATATACTGTACATAAATAAGTATATTTATATAGAAAATACATATTAAACATCCATGACTGGAGTACAAATGCTCGTATTCATCACAGTCAAGCTTTTATCATTATGTAACGGTATCTTTGAATGTGATCTACGCACAATTTTTCATAAGAGTTACAGAAGAGCACGCCATTCTTTTTAAATAATAGCTATATTTTTTTTTAATACATCCATAGATTAGCCTTTTTGTTATAGTAAGCAAAATTTAATTCGTTTTAATAACCTGCAGTGTTTTGATAAATCATTGAGAGAAATATAATAAGTAATAAAGATTTATCTATATACATATATAAAACTCAAAGGTCAAAGGACTGACTGACATAGTGATCTATCAACGCACAGCCCAAACCACTGGACGGATCGGGCTGAAATTTGGCATGCAGGTAGATGTTATGACGTAGGCATCCGCTAAGAAAGGATTTTGATCAATTCTATCCCCAAGGGGATAAAATAAGGAATGAAAGTTTGTATGAAACTTTCAATTTTAAACCAATCGGGCTGAGACTTTGCATGCAGGTATAAGAAGAACCATTGATGAATGTCATTGTGTATAATACAAGCCTGAGAACAAAAACTGTAGTCTACACTTCAGCTCTACACCGAAGCGAAGCGAAGGCGGGCCGCTAGTTTTATATAAACGCGCTAACAACTTGAGCCATCGAGCTTCCTCAAAGAATAAATACAAATAGTCATGTCAAGTGCTAGCATTGAGGAATTTATTGACATGAATATTACTTTTGAATTGATATTAGGAATCTTAATTAATATTGACATTGAATTAAATAATGCTCTAAAGTTATCATAATTAAATAATTGTTTTTATAGGTATATTATGCTGCCAATTCTGGCATGATTCTCTAAACTGAAAACTAAATCCCACCAAAAACATTCTGTAAAAAACTAGCCAAGTCTCGATGGAGCTGCTTGTTTATCTCTAAAAAGTAATGAAATGTGTGTGAGTGTGGTCATAAATGCGAAACTTTGCTTTCGCTTAACTTCGGAACTAAATGACCCACAGACTTGAAATTTTGGATTTTAAGTATCTTTTTATTATAGCTTACTGGATGACAAAAAATTTTGCGTTCTGGTCTTATCCAGAGGTTCTTAAATGCGGCGAAATGGTTCCAGTAAAGGATGGTATGGCAAGTTTGCTTCGCGCTCGATTTGGCGGGGGCACTGCCGTGCCTTCCGATTTAACATCAGTCTCTCCTCTTCTATGTAGAGAATGACAAGGATACACTGTTGTCGAATTTAAGTTTAGGTTTAGAAAATCATGCCAGAATCGACACCTATATCATAGTAAATTGACTTAAAATATTTTATTTGAACTGACATTGGGAATTGTAATCAATATTGACATTTTGAATTTAAATTATAATGATAAAATAATTTTCATTTAATGAATGATAGGTGAAATGAGAATACTATAATATGACTGTCCTGTTTTTAATATGTTAGAATTGTTTGCATACTATTAATATGGTTAAATAGGTTTAATATATGCTTTAAATGCGAACACCTTTTTTCAACCTTATTTAATGCAAATAATGGAGGAGCTCGATGGCGCATGTGGTTAGCGCGTTCGGCTGCGATCGTTGAACTTAAGCAACTTTCGCAGTGGTCGGTCATTGGATGGGTGACCAAAAATTTACTATCTCGAGCTTCTTCGTGCTTCGTTAGGCACGTTAAGCCGTTGGTCCCGGCTGTAACTCCAGACGTTAGCACCCGCTAATCCGCACTGGGCCTGCGTGGTGGTTCATGGCCCAATATCCCTATCCCATCCATAAGGAAGGCCTGTGCCCCAGCAGTGGGGACATTAATAGGCTGATGATGATGATGATGATGATGAATGCAAATAAAGAGTATTATATTGTATTTTTACTGTTAAATATTGTCACAGCTGCAGCAGTTCACGGTGGAGCCAGCTGATGGTGTGAACCAGTACTACAAAAGCCAAAAATCCAGCTTCTGCGCTGATCTCACACTGGATGGGGTCAACTACAAGGGATATGGTGACTAATTTATGCTCCTATTAAACTATTAGGCTGCCCTGTCCACCGGAGCGGAGAAACATAGAAATATCAACGAATAGGATTGCACCAAATCTCCGATCCTTTTCAGAGGACAGTTTTTGTGTAATCCTATTGGTAAATATTTCTTGGTTTCTCCACTGCGCAGCTTTACGTGCTCTTTATTTTCAAAGTTTGAAGCCTCCCGCCTATAGGCTCGTTATAATAGGCCAATAATATCGGATGCGTTAATGCGATATTTCGTTCGTTCTAATACATAATGTACTAAAAACGACTATCGCAATAACGCATCATTTAACGCCTATGGGAGTCATGCACTTTAGTGTTCAGCCTCTGCACTAATATTTCTTAAATTTCAACTACAATTAGTATTTTTCATAGATTTATTAGTGATTTCATCACATAAAATAAACAATCCACCACAATATTTACTAAATACTGTCTCAGTATTGCATCATTGTGTGTGGCATCATTAACTAAAATGAAAAATAAGTTTGACAGCAGTGGCTTGCTTGACACCTTATGCTTATTATGCAACATAATGAAACAGGAAGCGTTTTCAAGTTCTGTATTTAGAAAATCATATCCGAGTCAGGACCACTATAAAATGCTTTGATTATATACGAGTATATACACATAGATTGTATAATCCAAATAAACCTTGCAAAGAAGACAGCTCATGTTACGTGCAATGTGTGCGTGACTCTAATGTCAGATTGTTTGAAAGCAGTCAATATGTGCGTGCGCAGTGACGAGCTTATCTACCATATGTGGTAGATATTTTTTTTTTGGCGTTTGTGTGGCATTAATACAGTCTGTAGGCGTGAATATAATCAAATATGAAATCGTAATAGTACTCTGTTGGAAGGAGACTTTTTTGACGACCTTTGTGGCCGAGTGGTTTTTACGCCCGGTTTCATGGTGTCGCCAACTCGAGAGGTCTCGGGTTCGAATCCCGGTGGGGGTAGATGTTTGTGTGATGAATACGAGCATTAGTACTCCAGTCATGGATGTTTAGTATCCATTTATATATAAATATACTTATATATGTACACTATATGTATTCTATCCGTTACCCTAGTATCCCATAACACAAGCCTTATAATGCTTACTTTGGGGCTAGGCTAATTGGTGTGAGTGTTGGAAATTTTATTTATTTATTATTTTATGGACTGCAAGTACACATCTAATATTGTCCTCAGGCGAGAACAAGATAATGGCGCGTAACGCGGCCGCAGAGCAGGCCATCCGCGACATCATCATCAAGCGGATGCAGAAGTCAATCACCCACGATGCCTCCAGCAACGCAGACGGTGAGACCTTCTACTACTTCTACCTTTTATTTGGTGGGGAACGGGGGTCTTCGGTACTCCTTTGGTTTATAAATCGTTTATTTATCGTTTACACTGCTTTATTCGTATAAGTTACAAAATTAAAAAAAAAAATTAAAAATGCGTGCCGTTTCGTATGGTAGTCGAGAGATGTGTGTGACGTTTTAGTTTCTCCACTCGGTTCTTCGCGTTCGTCCGCAGATGTCTCACTAGATGGCGCTAGTGGTCGGTAACACCGCTAATTATGATTGAATTGAAATCTGAATGTATAAAAGGCAACCATCACTGACTGATAGATCAGTCAGAGTTGAGCTGTGTGTTGGTAGCAATGTACATCTCAAATTACTGAACAGATTTTACTTAAATTTGGCACCAACATAGCTATTATGATGTAGACGTGCACTTCAACGTTAAAATCTTCAAATTTGCAATGCTTAAAAAGAGTAATTTAGGTCTAAAAGGAGGAGCTCGATGGCGCAAGTGGTTAGCGCGTTCGGCTGCGATCGTTGAAGTTAAGCAACTTTCGCAGTGGTCGGTCATTGGATGGGTGACCAAAAATTTAATAACATGAGCTCCTCCGTGCTTCGGAAGGCACGTTAAGCCGTTGGTCCCGGCTGTATCTGCAGTCGTTAGCACCCACCAATCCGCACTGGGCCCGCGTGGTGGGTCATGGCCCAATCTCCCTATTCCATCCATAGGGAAGGCCTGTGCCCCAGCAGTGGGGACATTAATAGGCTGATGATGATGATGAGGTCTAAAAGTGTCTTCATCAGTCAAATTTGTTGAGTTCAGTTTCAATAGAATTTTTCACAGTATGATACGATTATGAAGTTGTCAGAGATTGTGGTTAGGCTGGGCAGAGTGGATTTTCTTCTAGTAAAAATATCTTTAGTTAAGTAAATTACACTGTCTCGTTTACCTAATACTACATTCAGGGCCGATTTTTCAAAACTTGGATAAACCTTAGAGATGTCAATCTGTCACATTACACCAATGAACACAAGTTAACTCTTTAATTTGTCCGTATAAAACGATATCAGACAGATAAATTTTATCCAGTGTTCGAGAAATCATCTCCTACTAAAATTTGGTGTTAGTGGATTGAAATTTCTCTTTACTAGTGCGTATTTTCAAAAATTAATGATCAATGATTCACCGGTAAGAATGATATGATACGAAATGATAAAAATTGGAGAGGCCTACGTCCAGCGGTGGACTAAGATAGGCCGTTGATGATGATGAAGGTAAAAATATGTGGAACTCATAACGAGTTTTGTAACAAAGGCTATTGTGTCACAGAGGGTTCCTCCCAGGCTGGGGCCGGGGCCGAGGGGGAGGCGGAGGGTGAGAAAGAGAAGGAGGAAGACCCGCTTCCGATGATCCAGCTGGCCTCATACGCGCTGCACAAACTGTTCTCCGAGTGGGAGTACGAGGGGCACAAGGTGCCTCAGCTGCGCCCGCCCAACACCTCGGTCAGTATATTACTATTTTATTTAATTACTAACTGTCCCAGCGAACTTCGTACCGCCATAAAAAAATAGGGGTCGGTGGTAGAAGGGTGAAAATTTAGGGATGTATGTATTTGTGTATGATGTATCATAAAAAAATTTAAAAATAAAATATCTAAAATTAAAAAAAAAATTAGGGGTGGATTACCCTTAACATTTAGGGGGATGAAAAATAGATGTTGTCCGATTCTCAGACCTACCCAATATGCACACAAAATTTCATAAGAATCGGGAAAGCCGTTTCGGAGGAGTTTAACCACAAACACCGCGACGCGAGAATTTTATATGTTAGATTCATTTAATTATTTGGTTTACCAGCAATTATTACAGTTATACTTTGCGAAATATCAACTTGACAACAGTGTCTTCCTTTGTCTTCCTATAGAGTATGATAAGGACAACCTGGTGTCAAAATGAGAAATAGCAAAATGCGAATAGCGATGTGAAGTGCCAACATAACACTCGTAATAATCTCGAATTAAGCACTGTTACGTTTGTGATACAGAATACTAGGGTCACGGATTTAAAACAAAATCGTATATGAAGTTATAACCAATTTGCAATGTATTAGCTGATTTTAATGATTTCACAATTAAATTCAAGAAAGCTTTTTCTTGGGATACAATACAATGTCGTTTTGATGATCTTGGAATGATTCTCCAGGAATATTTAATTTAGATCAAGCGTTTCGTTATTTAAAAATATATGAAGTCTTATAGTGCTAAATAAGTATTGTTTTAACTATTCTATAATTATATATTTTTTTTAAATTATACATCTAGCAGTTAAATGCTTAAAAAATATAACTGTAATTGCTATTTCTTCTTTCAAATGTTTAATAATTGTTGAGTTATCCATTAGACATTGGGGGTTACCTATAATGCGAAGAGATGGCGCTGCGTCTAAGAGATAATAGAGAAAATTCGACACGACCATCAGGGCCGCGCTAGCATAACGGTCAGTGCATCTACCCAGATAGCGAAGGGTACGAGTTTGAGTCCCGTCTGCTGCCTAGTCCGCGTGATTTTTTTTCTAGTATTTTTTTTTATATTTATTGTATAATTGTTCCCCGCAGACATCGGAGATGGAGGTAGAAGAGGGCGGTGAGGAATCCGGCTCCGTGGCGGGCAGCAGTAAGTCCAGCAAGCCCAAGGTGAAGAAGGGGCCCAAGCTGCTGCCCCTCAACGCCGGCGCCATGCATCCCTGCATGCTGCTCACATACATGAGGCAGGGGCTCGAGTACAGGTATATATGGAGACATGGCCCCCAGCAGTGAGGCCAGCAAGCCCAAGGTGAAGAAGGGGCCCAAGCTGCTGCCCCTCAACGCCGGCGCCATGCATCCCTGCATGCTGCTCACATACATGAGGCAGGGGCTCGAGTACAGGTATATATGGAGACATGGCCCCCAGCAGTGAGGCCAGCAAGCCCAAGGTGAAGAAGGGGCCCAAGCTGCTGCCCCTCAACGCCGGCGCCATGCATCCCTGCATGCTGCTCACATACATGAGGCAGGGGCTCGAGTACAGGTATATATGGAGACATGGCCCCCAGCAGTGAGGCCAGCAAGCCCAAGGTGAAGAAGGGGCCCAAGCTGCTGCCCCTCAACGCCGGCGCCATGCATCCCTGCATGCTGCTCACATACATGAGGCAGGGGCTCGAGTACAGGTATATATGGAGACATGGCCCCCAGCAGTGAGGCCAGCAAGCCCAAGGTGAAGAAGGGGCCCAAGCTGCTGCCCCTCAACGCCGGCGCCATGCATCCCTGCATGCTGCTCACATACATGAGGCAGGGGCTCGAGTACAGGTATATATGGGAAAAAACCAATTACAGTATAACGCCGATTATCCGGACGCCGATTAACCGAATCGCCAATTATCCGAATCAGTCCTAAGCGCAATATAAAACAAATGGATGCGTGTAACTTATGTACGCGCGTGAGAAGTTATACTTCTTTAGCATCATTAAAAATATTTTTTAATTGAATGCAAATAATTAATAATTACAATAAAATAATAAAAGGACTGGAAAAGGATAGTTAACACAGTCGATTAAATTCAGTTTTAATTTGAAAAATTAAATAAATATTCAAAATATTCAATTAAAATCACTACTGAATTTAAGTTATTAGTCCATATGTAATTAGCACTTGTAAGTAACTAAAACACGTTGTGTCTATATAGAAACTAGAAACATGTAGATAAATATTATAAATATGAAAACAGTGATCAGAGGCGACGAGCGTGCCAACATTGTTTTTGACAACGCGATCATCTTATGGAGCTCCGTGGATCGTTCAAAGTACCTTTCGAACAGATGTTAATAATCCACCATTATTAGACACTAACATTCATAACGCGCCCGCGGCCAACTTCATGCTGTTACTTTTGGGTTACAGTGATGCGCGCGCATCTAAAAAACGAGCGAGCCTAACGAGCGTTCTAAAATCAAATCAAATAGCGTTACACACTGCCGTCCCATTTCACGAAATCACTCCCACAAATTGCAGGAAAGCGAGAGGAAAGATGGTACACATCAAAATGGATTCTCTGCGCGTGCAATACAATAATATTTTCAGAATGATGTTGGGACTGCTCCGATTCTGTAGTGCCTCCGAAATGTTTGCTGTAACTCAAACAAACGGTTTCCATGCCGTCTTAGGGGCCATCTATATATTACGTCATTCTAAATTAGGGGGGGGGGGGGGGGTCGTTTCGAAATTGACGTCATTCTATTTTATTTATTTATAGTTTATTGTTCACGTACAAAAAGATTATTTCTAAAAAGAAATTTCTTCCAGCACACCTAGTAAGTGAGACTGCAAATGTGAGAGGCGGCTAAGGCGCGTACAGTACATAGATGTACACAAATACAGTAATAACTACAGATAAAATACTCTAACAATAATATTACATATAATACTAGCTTTTCTCAAATCTGCAATGTTTTAATATTGTCAAACTGGTAATGACGTAAATTTTGGGAGAAGGGGTAGGGGGGGGGGGGGTCATTAAGAAATGACGATAGGATAATTGTAGGCGGGGGGGGGGGGGGTCTAAAATCTGAAAAAATCGTTGACGTAATTTATGGACGGCCCCTTACGGCAAAAAGTTGCGTCCCTGATGGGTAGAGTACGGAGCAGTAACTACACCATTCTGAGAGTCGTGGCAGGTGATCCGCATGCACCATTTTGGAGGCGCTCCGTGCGAATGATGACTGAAATAGAAGTTAACTAGCAAACCTGTGAACCAAATGTTCACCAAAAAAAAAAAAGTATTTAATTAATTGAGAACTTCAGAGATTTTGTGTGGTTTCGTTTGAAATAGAAATCACGTGATTTCTCGAAAACCGGAAGTGCTACGTTACTCACATCCGGTTTGTAGTCTTATCAGACTATTCTTAACTTATAACTTAAATATTCTCTTTATCTATCTCTTACGATTTGGCCGCTGAAACAGCACCACAGACAGACGGACGGACGGACTTGTCTAATAGATAAGAGATTATTCTTCCTGGTGTACCTCGCGCGTTGTGCCTCTAAGGTACATGACGTATTAAAAATGCAAAACTTTTGTGAATACTTACTTATAGGCTACTAACCCTCAGTCATAAGTCATATTGTATACTAACATATGGACCTGTGTTGTCTGACAATAAATGATATTTTTACTATAAAAAGCGAGTGTGCTTATATGACCACACGACTGAAGTGAAACTTCTTTAGCTCCAATGATCTGAAAATCATAAACTTAACCTGAAGATTTGTTGGTGGAAAAAATACCACCTATCCGCGTTGGGTCCGTTATCGGGTGATAACTAGATTAAATAACCAAGCACTAGATTCATGTATTTTGTGACGGGTATTGTTCATTGTTTACCGATGAGTCACCAGTGCGCGCGTAACGCAAAAATCGTAACACAATCACCAATTCAACCCCCAACTCAATCGTAGAGCGAAAAAAACTCCACAACATTAAAAGTCTTATGTAACAACATTTACAAATCATTATGTTGTTACAACGTCAATACAGTTATGATTTATTTAATATAGAAAACCTGTTGGAATGATTGGAACAGTTCAAACCCAAGCATTTTTGTCTGTAATATAATCAGACACTTTGTAATAAGCTTTTTTAATAAGTGCTTTTTTATACTATCTTTAAATTGATTTATGGTTACCTCTTGGATATTGCTTGGGACTTTATTGTTTAAGCGAACACAAAGACCTTTAAATGAATTATTGATTTTGTGAAGCCTAGTAGCAGGTAAAGTTAGTTTATTTTTGTTTCTTGTATTGAATATCACTGTTTTTAAGAAACAAATTAATATTTTAAATGCTAAAAATAGTACTATAGTGTTGCTGTTATAATAGAACAATTGATTCCAGGGAGGTGTCTGTGGACGGGCCCAGCTCTAACAGTATGCACCCCATCTTCACCATGAGTGTCGACGTGGATGGCGTCACATACATCGGCAAAGGTGAGGACAATATGTTTGTAATAATAATAATAATATTTATTTAGACCAGCATATAAGTAACATTACGTCTTATAAACTATGAACACCATATATGAAGCTTAAGAATATAAAAGACAATCTTTAGCGTCTGCTGCCGAACTAAGATTTTCATCCTGTATTTCAGCATACAGAGTGCCTCAATCCTCAGGTTTAGACAATTACTTGTATCCTATAAGCTAGTGAAATAAGTTTCTTGTAATACTGATATTACAAGAAATACTTATTTGGATTTTATAAAACTGTTAAAATAAAAGTTGTGTTTGTTCTGTGTTTTGTGTAAGTCAACTCTGCTTGGCGCCGCGCGGCCATTTTATACTTGTAAATAGTCAATCGTTTATTGCATATCCCTTATACTTCACTGTAGTAGTGGTGTCGATTCTGACGTGATTTAATAAAACTTAAAACGAAAGGATATCACTCGTTCTCCATACATTGAATGCCCCAGAACGCACAGCAATGAGTAAATGCTAGTTTGTGTCGGAATAATTCATATATTATCCTCAAGCATTTGTTGAAACACGGACTACTCGAGGAACCTTGGTCTACTTACAGACTGTATTCGATTTTGAGGTTATACTTAATCGTAAACAATGTACACTTTATCTCCCTTATTAATAAACGAGGTCTAAGCTTAAAATGGTTACGCCGTGTTTTGTTCATATCACTAAAATCCCATTTGTCATTCTATGAACAGGGACAAAATATAGAATAACTAATACAAGCTTAGTCTTCGTTTATTAATAATGGGGTTTATGATCTGTGTTTGGTATAGCTAAATTAAACCACGCTTCTCACTAAATTATGTACAACGAAATGGCGTGGCTTAGAAAAGAACCTAAGTTTACAAAAAAATCTTTAAAATCTAATATAAAAAATGTGTTACTAGAAACTATATAAAATATTGTTGCGGTGATGTGGAATGGTGTGATATATGTGATATATATAATGTCTGGTTCACTGTCGTATTGCTGCTGTTGTGTATATGTTTTGTTTGTATTATTATTTAGATTGTAGTGCACTTGTAAAGTAATTAGTTTTAGCGCAGTTACTTGCCAACAAACTGTTCTCAGTTTGGCAAGATTTAATGTTTTGTTATCAAGTGTACCCAAAGTAAATATAATAAATCAAAAAAAAAACACTATATTTATTGTATGAGATGATAATAATTAAGATACACACGTTTTTGTATGCTAATATAAAGTTAATCTAATTCAAATGAATAATAATATGGGAGAACACTTGACGCGGTTTACAAACAGCCGGAAGAGAGCGAGAGAGGTGATACAAAAATGAGACAAAGGATTTAGTTTGTCAAATACTAAACAATCTGAATAGATTTTAAAAAATTCATTAAATCTCTAGTGTTAGTCATCATCATCCTATATTAATGTCCTCACTGCTGGGGCACAGGCCTTCCCCATTAATGGAATAGAGATTGGTCCATGACCCAACACGCGACCCCAATGCGGATCGGTAGGTGCTACCTGCAGTTGCAGCCGGGACTTTAACGTGCCTTCCGAAACACGGAAGAGGTCGAGATGGTAAATTTTTGGTCACCCATCCGATGACAGACCACTGCGTCTATAGCAGCCGAACACCCCCATCGAGCTCCTTAGTGATAGTGAGTGATAATAATATATTGTTTTCCGTAGCGTCGAGCAAGAAGGAAGCTCGCAAATCGGCGGCGCGGTCGGCGTGTTCCGCCATATTTGGCGTGAAATTCGACGAAGTGGCCACCGCCAACGTGCCCATCGCACCCAGCGCGCCCAACGCCAACACCAACACCAACGCCAACACTGGCGCCAACACCGCCTAGATCTACGCGTAAACACTGTACAATACATGAACCTACGAAGTACACACGCATCGACTACGCATGTACCATACACGTAGAGAATGGATTGAGCGACACTAAAAAAAATTACATTAGGTAGTTTGACAGTATGAAAAATAAAGTACCAATTGTTGGAAGCTGTATTGAATATGAATAAGCTGTATTGCGATTTTACTATTCTGAGAGAACAGCTGATCAGTAACTTTCCTAAAAAAGTAATCAAATAGATGCTTTGGCACAGTTTTATCCCCGGTTACAGAAGGCGATTTCTTAAAAACTGAATGCAATTCGAGTTATTATTAAAAATAAAATTGTCTTCTTTCATTCTTCTTTCAGTAAAATATCCTATCTTCAATATTTAATATACTTTCCCTCCGTCTGATAAACCCGTGGGACGCCCTGTATATAATTATATACTAAAGTGCTAGCTGTTTATTAAACCACTAACGGCTTGCCCCCATGGAGCCTGTAATTTAAAGAATCCGAAACGTCAGAAGTTTACAAATCAACTATTTATTATTCCTGATGACGTTACGAATTCACTTTATACCTGTTCAAAATGGTTTTTCATAAAGATCTTACCTTTATGGCGAATACAGTTAGAAAACGCAATCCTTTCTCTGCGTCTGTAGCATATATACTGATATCGACACACAATATACCCGTCTGACAAATAGGTATTTTCCACCTTAGCAGATTAAATTGAGAACTGAAACATTCTACATAAAAAATAAATTAGATTAAAATAGTTTAATTAAAAAGAAATTTATTTAGCTACATAGAGACACAGTGAATAGAGTTGATGTATTTTTGTTTTTGCATTTAAATAAGGTTTAAAATATATATGTGTTTCCGAGTAAATTAAAGCTTGTCAACTAATTTTTTATATTTGTTTAAATACATATACAGGCTGTTACAGAATTCCGAAATAAAATTTGTAGGTATGTATTCCGAAATTAAAAAATTGTAGGTATCTGAGCGGGGCGCAGGGGCGCCTGGGGGAGAGAGGGGGTGTGTTTAGGTAGTCGTAATCGTACGCATCCTATAAGGGTTGTCATAGGCAGGTGTAAAACGATATTTTTATTAATTTTATTAGAAAATAAAAGTGGTCTGAAAGGCGTCAAACTTTCGTAGGTAATTCTATACGAGGAACACAACCAAACCCTAAAGTTTTATTTCGGACTTTTGTCACACCCTGTATATATATTTAAAACTCATTACTTCTCATAAAATAACCAATTAATATTTTTTAATTTATCAATTATTGAGAATTCTGTGGCATGATCAGGATTGATATAAAATCAACTCTTACTCGTTTATGAATTTACAAAAAAAGCAAGATGTGTAAAACATTTTGTTAAACGTTATTTTACAACATTACAGTGTTATTATATAGAAAAATATATAAGATTACATCTAATTATTTTTGGGCAGGCAGCTCTGAGATGAGAAGACATGGATCAATCTCAAGTACATGATGAGGTTGTATAATAAAAGCAACCAATGTTTTAGTTGTTATCAATTTTACAACATAACATATGTATATAAGTACTAGCAAGTGTATATGTTATCAATTAATTACCATTTTTCTATATTGTGGTCTTACTGAGTGTGTCAACAGCTAGGTTGATGAGACTGTTATTTATAGTTTTAAGTTTATGTATAATTAATTATATTGTCTAGTGACATTAAATAAATTGAGTAATCTCGAACAAGTTGTTTTGCTGAATATCCTTATGACAAGGTATGTAATTTACATAAGAGTGGCTAGATAATATTTAATCGGGATGCAAATTTACAGTGCTTAAGGGTTCCCACACACACACATAATTGCGAATATTGCATCGCAAATATCTGCAAGCGAGCACGAATGCACTGAAAGAACTTTGGATCTGAATTCGCATCGCGCATTCCTGCGATGTTACATCACACTCGGTGACACCATTGGAACTAGTGTTGTCGAACTATCGACAGTTTACATCGAAAATCATGTACACTATAGAATCGATACAACCGATAGTATCGATACTATATAGTGTTAATTTTATCTGCAACAATACTATCGATAGTATTCACACTAGCGATTGTTTTAGACTAAAGTTTGTGATTGACTATAATACCTGAAAATTGTAAACAATACTATTGCAAATTGTTAAACTATCGATAGTATGGTTGCAAATAAAATCGACAGTATCGATACTATCGATAATTTGTTATTAACGAACTACAATGCTATCGATAGTATGTAACTCATCCGATAGTATTGGCTTTTTCTGTGCTATCGATCTGATCGATTGTCATACGATTGGCTGGCTATCGATTAACCATCGATAGTCGACTATCGATCGGCAACACTAATTGAAACTCTTGCACGATCGTTTTTGTAGACATGGTGATATTAAAATTCAAAGTTCTCTAAATGAAGTCATCATCATTATCCGCCTATTAATGTCCCCACTGTTGGGGCATAGGCCTGTCCTATGGATGGAATAGGGAGATTGAGCCATGACTCACCACCCGGGACCAGGGCGGATTTGTGGGTGCTAACGACTGCAGCCGGGACCAACGGCTTAACGTGCCTTCCGAAGCACGGAGGAACTCGAGATAGAAGATTTTTGGTCACCCATCCTATGACCGACCACTGCCAAAGTTGCTAAACTTCAACAATCGCAGCCGAACGCGCTAACCATCGAGTTCCTTAATTAAAGATATGGTGATTCTAAAAGTGTCCGTGATGCTAGCGTACCCACGATCAATACACGGTGTTTCGTTATGCCATTAAATACATAAAATACTTTTTCATTTCTCATTCTCGGAAAGTGGTGTTGTTTTGATCTGTTTGTTGGGTGGAAAATGCTGCTTCCCTCTCTAGAGAGGGAAAAACTCATACAAATTACTTCCCGCCTAAGGGCCGGAATGAACTTTAAAAATAGAACTACTGTCAGGCGTGAAGTTTTTTGTAAAAAAAAATGCTGCCGCCATGTGAGTTTCTAAACAGCCAGTGTGAACTTAGCACAAACTTCTTTGAGCGGAATAAGCCGCAACAATTACGCTGTTCCATATTTAAATTTAAAAAGTCGACATAAATTGGCGGGAAACTAAACTGTTATGCATCTGTTATGTGATGGAATAAAAAAATAGTAATAATAATCTTTTAAGTAAAACAGAGCAATCCAACTTTGAATATTAAAAATGAGTTCAAGCGATTCAGAAATGTTGACACCGGATTCAATTAAAGACGAGGCAAATTGTGTTATAGAGAATATTTTGCCAGAAATGTTAAAAAAGAGATATATAAATACATACAATGATTTTATAAAGTGGTGAGCAGAGAAGAATATAAAATCGTTTTCCGAAAGTGTATTTCTTACATATTTTAATGGACTGTCTAGCAAACTACAGGCTCCTACAATTCGCCTCAGCAGACAACTTCCAGGGAGTATCCGCCATGGAAATCCATCGTTTGATGAAATAACAGAGTGTCCTACTTTTACAGATATCCAAAACAGCCAAATTTGTAATAGTATATCAAACAGCATAGTTTCAAACAAGAATGTTACTTTTAATTTCAGTAATTGTCCTAATATGATAATTAATTTTAAATAGCTACTTCTAATTTTATGGTATATATATAACTATTTATGAATAAATATTTTTGTTAAACAACTAGTTTTATTTTCCTCATATTCGAAATGAAAAGTACAGTGTTTAACTCGGGTAAAAGAATCAATTCCTACTCGGACTATAGCCGCCCTCGCTGCGCTCGGGCGTCTAAATACCTCGGGAATTGATTCTTTCCACCCTCGGTTAACAATCTACTATTATAGCACAGTGTGACCTAAACCCGCACTTTACGCACGCTTTTCCGTGACCTAAGTTGCCTATTTCTGCACGGTGTGTAAATGAATTGACCAACTTCACTCCACGGACCTAAAAAAAAGACGGACGTAACATCAAAGGCAAATCATGTGAAGCATGCAAGGTCAGACAAAATCGTTTGTTGTACACTACCTACACTCACACTAATGCACCAGGTCGGACAAACCGCTGCCATTTGACCCCGCGTGGCAGCGGCAGTCACACATTCAATTGCTCTGATAAAAATAATTAAAAATGCCGTCTTGTGTGGTGAAATCCTGTAAAAACTACACGAATAATTTTAAAAAGTCACAAGGAATCACCTACCATGCGTAAGTATTGACAATTCTTGATATTTATTCCATATCATATTTTATTTACTGGGATGAAAATTGTAAACAAAAATACAACTGTATGGCTACTTTATTTACGGGAAATTTTCCCTAAAAGTAGGGAATTTTGTATTTCTTCCATTTGTGACTCGGTAAGGTCAGATTTCGTAACTTTTTAGGGTTCCGTATCCCAATAGGAAAAGAATGGAAGCCATATCATTCATAGAATATTTTATATGTTTTATAAAATGGTATGTTCGCGCTGTGAATTCTTTGTTGTTTATATATATGTAGCAAACTTTTTTGTGTTTAGCAACTGATTGTCACTAATTATTTCTTTGTGTTTTTTATTGTTTGGTTTTAGTTGTGGTTTTTGTAAGTTCTAGTTTGTCATAGATTCTTTTTCTTTTTTTATGGCATGCACGGTTTGTGCGTTCAGCCAATGTCAAGTAAAAATTGGGGAAACATTATAGGAAAAAAGGAATCGGAAATATTACGAAATTTGGAAAGGATCAGGATTGTAGAAATATACATATTTACATTTAAAGTTTAATATTATTGAGCAAAAGGAAAGATATAATACATTTATACACAGATAGGTCATTAGTATGTAGAAGTGTAGCTATATTGGTCGGGAATGGTATTTGAAGTGATGTTAAGTCATTGAAAAGTAAGGATCTATGGAACAGAGGACAGGAAAACACAATGTGATCAACATTTCCCTCATCTAACCCGCAGTCACACCTAGGATTATTTATTATATTGAGTTTGGCAAGATGGGAAGGCACAGACGAATGGCCCAGTCTCATTCTGTTAATCATAGACGTCTCCGTCTTACCAAACTTCATATTGAAAAACCAAGGTTTAGAAGGAATGTCAGCCTGAATTGCAGCATAAAATTTACCTCTTGTTAGTTTACTATATTTCCACATTTGTTCCCATCCTTCATGCAATACAGATTTAGGAATAGCTAATAAATCTAAACAATAATTCTGGAACGGAAAAACATCGCCACATGATTTAGCATCTCTTGCCAGTCTGTCAGCTAATTCATTTCCAGCTATGCCGATATGGGCAGGAATCCACGCAAATTCTATATTCTGACCATTTTTGATACATTCCTGTGTCATTTGTCTAATATTAAAAATGATAGGGGAATAATTTTTCAATTTAAATGGGAACTTTTCTAGTGATTGTAAGGCACTTTTTGAATCTGAAAATATTACAGCAGATTTAAGTTTCATGATTTTAATGTATTCAATTGCTTTAAAAATACCAAAACATTCTCCTGAATAAACCGACGATTCTGGAGGAAGTTTAACTTTCTGCACTATATTAAACTGAGAATGATAAACTCCTATCCCAACACACGTAGTCGATAAATGTTTGGAAGCATCACAAAATATATGGTGGAAATAATTAAATACAGTATTAATAACATGAGAAAATTTAAATTTAGCATTCAAATCATATTTGTCTACTAAATCATAATGCACGACAGGAGAATAAGTTATAGCTTCAAACGGAACATTAAACATAGGAAGGAAATTAGAACTGTATGTGGGGGCAGAAAGTGAAGCAAATCTTCTATAACTAATTAAAAGACACGGTAGAGATTTATTGGCGCAATAACTAGAAGTCTGAATTTTTTCATTGAGTACTGTAAGTAAAGAAAGCAATGGATGATTAGAAAATTGCATTGTACGAACAAAGAACTTATCGCAGATGAATTGCCGTCGCAATACTAAAGGAGGTTCACAGCATTCTACTTGCATAGAGTTTATTGGACTCGACTTCATGGCTCCTAATATTATTCGAAGGGCTTTACTCTGAATTTTATCTAGTTTATTAAAGGCTGTTATATTTCCTGGTTCTAACAAGAGGAGCCATAATCTAAAATGCTTCTTATTAGAGCATTATAGATCAATTTCAAAGAATACGAGTGAGCACCCCACCAAACTCCTGACAGGCACCTTAGCATGTTCAATAAGCGTTCACATTTGTTAACAACGTATTCGCAATGGCGATTGCCAGTAAGCTTAGAATCTAAGACGAC